TCCTTCACAATGACTCTTTCACCATTGTTCCCTGCCCCTTAAATTATTTTTTCAATTTAAATTTTGTGTTTTTTTAAAAAAAACCTATTCTTATGGGGGGCCCCCCCCCCCCCCCCCCCCCTTTTTTTTTTTTTCTACCTAGGTAAGATTTTAACTGTAATCGGATTTACATGAATACATCGATGATGGTATATATTGGAGATATAGGGCTGTGACTCTACTCACATAGGAAATTAGTATTGAATTGTCAGGATTCTAGATGTCTCATCTGAAACCCTGACAGCGGGTAAGAGGTAGTATTTGTATGTAGTCACGGGGCTCTGCGTGTAGGGACTTGTCTATTTAGTCTATTAGAATACCTGTCTCTGGTACTACAAATCAGGCTTCATTAGTCTTACAGCAATAACTTACCTAGCTAGTAGTGTATTCTAGTCAATTGATAATAGGGCGATTAGATCCCATTAGTCACAACTGTGAAAGAGTCCAAACACCAAGGTAGGCGGTGTGACAATGCGTATTCTGACTTAGCCCTAGTTAGTATATCGCGGACATCTTTTATGCAAGCAAGATGGACGCTAAATTTCTGGACTAAAGCATCAATGAACTTTGATACGGTATAGCTTGCCATCAGAGGCACAAGTAGTACCTTTTATAACTTCATATTGCTATTAGGATTGTAACCATATATAGTGCCACGAACATTGAAAACGCCATAGAGACAGCTGTTATGTGCCAGTCACTCGACAGCTATTTTCAAGTTTATTCTGAAATGGGGACACCAGTTACGTATGACTAGCTCTGCTATTAGATTGATTCAATAGAATATCGCTGATTCTCCTTATAATCAGCCCTTCAAGTTGAAGATACCTCAAAGCGTATCTCATATTGACCTTCAACGCCATTACATGACTTACATGATTAATGGCTGGCGAGAAACTCACCGAGACTATAGCGCTTGGCATTTCATGTAAGAGATAACTGTAGCAACTCGGTTCTTTACGTTGCCTAGGACAATTAAGACAAAACCGCCACGGCTACGTACGAAACATGAAGAGGGTATCCCGAATTAGATATACCGCCTGGTACGTACTCCCTAACAGTATTCCCGTTGACTAGGTACTGAAGACTTCGTCGGGACCAGCGCATATGCTACACTCGGGCATAACTCTAAGTCAAGACTATTTTAATATATCAAGCTAGCTTCCGTTCCGCTGTAAAGCACGACGGGGCCACGTGGGCGTTTCCCTATGCCATCGCTACGCCACCGCCACCACGCCGACTTGGATCGGCATCACAACCCTGTCTACATACTACCTAGCCATCCGTCTACAGACTACCGAACTTTGCACCCGAAGCAAAACAACCGAGCGCCGTCATCGAAAAAAAAAAACCACACACCGATGAAGCTATCCCCGAGCAAGGGGCCTCAACTTCCGCCACACCGGCTCGCCTAGCACTCGAGATTGGCCTAAGAATACACCCTGCGCCCCTTCTACTATATAGGTAGGTAATCATCTCACCTCAGCAGCTACCTACGTACTTGCTATATACATATTGTCAGTGTTGCGCCACCTCCAACAATTACCTAGGTATACCTACCTGCATCTACATTTAATTGCGTAGGTACATATGTAGTGGCGAAAAAGCCGCCCCTGTCTAGCGTTCAGCCACGACCCCCGCCGACACTAAACGGGCGTTCCGGAAAGCCGCGGAGATGCGGCGCCGAAGCAGGTATCCGCTTGTGCCGGCATCGGCGGCGGCCAGCCTGCCTCCGATAGGAACCGCAAGAGTAGCGCCTCCGCGCTAGTTAGTTTAGGCACCTATGTACATGTAGTCAGGCCCATCCCGCAGACGCGTTTTCTCTCGTATGTAGGTCCCTAGGTAGGTACATAACATGCCACTATGTATAGGTACGCAGCCTCTCGCGCGTCAAAGGTTTTGTCGTGGCAACAGCCTCGGATGTCAGGAGTAAAGGCAGAAAGGGTATCGTTTTATGTGGGGGTGTCGCCTCCCCTCCCTCTACATATGTAAAAAGGAAGAGCTAGGCAGTTTAGCGGCTACAGCCGGATCCGCCAACCTGGTTTTGGCGTCGGCGCAGCGTGCTAGGGCTAGCGTCGGACTTGCCGCCTTCGGCTTTTACATTGAACATGGCTACCTGCCTTAGGTAGGTACCTATGTACCTATACGAGAGTAGGTATACAAAAGTATGTACCTAACATTGATGGGAATCTTCGATTGCTCAGATCGAGTTTATACAGGTAGGCACTTCGGAGTCTCACCGACCCTCCAAGCACAGGTCATTGCGTACCATGCCGGTAAACCCAAGCAGGCATGCCGCTAAGTACGGTAGCTAAGCTGCTGGGACGTCACTGGGATATTGCTGGAAGGGTGTCATTGAGAGCCCGAGATTGGCTGCGGCACTGTCCCGGAGTAGTATAGCGGTTAAAATAAAAGAAGGCTACCACACTTCATCTTTATCTTTATCATCATAAATGACGAACGCTGCAGTCCATGCGTTGGATTAGAAACCCAAGTAGGTAGTAAATCGTGATCTGAAAAATCAACTCGGATTAATCAATCTACTCGGTGGAAATCCTCCGTTATTGCCAACGGCTTTGCAACCGAGCTGCCCGAAGATTGGGCACTCAACTCAACTATGTCAACCATGCGACTCAACTATGCGTATTGAAAACACCTAAACGCCGGGGCTAAACAAGATCCCTTTCTAATGCCCGTGATATGCACGCTACCCGACCGATCCCTCTGCCATTAAAGAAAAAAAAACGCCCGTAGTCACCTTGCCGCTGATGCATCCCACACCAATGGCATAACCTCCCCCCCTCCCCCTTGCCCCTCAATGGAACTCGATATCGAAATTAGTATACTCGAAAGTTGGGTATCGTAGGCCGAAAAGAAATCCAACAATGATACCATCATGCAATGCATGAAATTTGAGCAGAAATATGCATCTGTACCGTAGTTCCAGTCTATCCTGGAAGTTTCTAGTCTATGTGAATGTTGTATGTATATCCCGTTGTTGCGGGGAAAGTTGTTGCCGTGATTAGATCTGTTGTCTCGTGTATCATTAATTAGGCCTGGAGAATTCTCTCTGAGAAGTTGATGTAAGGGCGAATCCGGATTCGCAGATACCCCCGTATCTGAAAAAAGATATCTATATCCCTAACGGAGATATGCGATTCCAACCCCATCAGAAGGTACTCCAGTTCCAGTCCCGTGGAACGCTCATCGCGATTTCCTGATGATGGCTATGCTGACCTTGGATTGCCGTCGGGGCCGAAGCGGCTGGGCTCGTAGGTGCGGTTTGCGATTCTCTACCGGTAGAAGACGTGTCGCTAGAAGCCTGGCTATTTGTCCGACTACGCCACGCTCTGAACTCTGAAAAGCAATGAGAACATGCGCGGCTCGGAGTGCCTCTCGGGTTATAATTCGCGTTTTGATCGAGAGGAACATCGTATGCCGAGTGCGAATCGCAGAAGATGTTGCCACATTTCCGACAGTGATGACGGCGTGTCCAGTAGTTGAAGTGGCGCATACAGGAGGGCTCGTCGCAGATAGTTGATTCCGGGTCGGGCTAAATTTACGACGTCAGCTGGAATTCTTGTAATACCATAGAAGTTGAATGAGGTCATGTGTTGACATGTCGCAGTCTGTAAGGCTGCATATCTGAGACACAGCCTGCCGATCAGGACTTACCTTCCAGTGCTGCCGCGTGGGTTGCGCCGTCGGCTTTGGAAACATATCCAGGTCCCATTCATCATCATCTACACACTTTCCGCTGTCACCTGTAGTACGACGGCTCAATCGGCTAAGAGCGCCCAATCCGGTCAAGCTGATGAAGCTGCTGTTAGACGATACCGGATTATCATCTTCCTGTGCTTCCGTCTTCCTCCCAATCTTGTAGGGGTGCTCGGTCGGTCTTAAAACCGCGGGCATGTAGAGCGGTCGTAAACGCTGACGATGGTACGGTTTGGGGGAGGTAGGCGAGGCGTTGGTAGAGGTGCTCAAGGGCGAGATCTGTTGAGAATGGTATCCTTGAGATGGATAGGTCGGGGATTGCGACGGCGCGGTAGGCGTTTGGCGATAAGGATAGAAATGCGGCTGCGGCTGCGGCTGCTCAGCTGGCCTGGGCATTATGAAGTCGGTTGCCATCCTTTTTTCGCAGCCGCGCACGGAATCCAGCGTGTAAGACACGGTGTCGGTAGTGTTTTTCGAGGGGGTCAAGTAGGATAGAATAATAAAAGTAAAATAGGGAAGGTTAAAGTTGGCGAATGTTGAGAGAGCGATAAGCGGAGTAAGCCGTCGCAAAACCAAATTATTGTGTAATAATTATTGCTCAACCAAAGACTCCCCCCAAAAAAGAAATTTTTAGTTTATTAAGACCAGGCAAAATAAATAATGCTGGTCTGTCCCAACTTTTGACTTTGTACGAGTCGTAAAGTTGAGTTAATCAGCGGTCGAGGTTATTATCGGGAAGCTAATGACTTGGACAGAAGGGTGTGTTAGAAGGCTCGATTCTAACTCTAAAAAGAGGTGGCTGCACGGGTGGTGACTGGAGGATGAATAGTTCCCCTCGCGCTTGTGATAAGGGTGTGAGGTAAGGTAAGCTTAAATCAGAGATAAGTGATAAGGTAGAAGGTAGAAGGTAGAAGGCATTAAAGATTCGCAGGCTACCAGATCTGAGGCATCAGAGCGAATACCTGCTGCATAAGATAAAAGGTGAGGTAGGCGATATGATTGATATGATATGTAAGGGAGGACAAAAAGATACAATAGGGGAGGAGGGATGATAATAACCTTCTGTCAAGTAGCAAAGTACGTACTTCGTACCTACTACCTAGGTTCCAAGAACCGCACTAAAGAGAGAAGTTCCCCGACGCAATAGTCGACCGGTCGTGGTGGCACCGGGGTGGCACTTGGTGGGCCGGGAACCCCTCGATACATCAAGCGGCGTCCACTTACGTAGGATTTGAGTCCATCCTGATTGGCCTAGTTGAATTAGCTAAGTCTGGTAGACACAATTCGTACTGTGTTTATACTCGAAATGCACTTGGCTTTTACTCTTTTACATACTCTTGCCCTGCCCAACTTCTTTTTCTTTCCACTGCATTGATTTCCCTCGCGACTATTACGCTGCATCATTCTTGTTGCCAAGTTTATAACGCCAACAAGGCTAAGGATATCCTGGCTAATGCAAATTATTATCATTAACTACCTAAATATGCAAACAATCTAGAGTTGGTGCAAGTTGCGCCGCTTCAAATTCATCCTTCCCCTCCAAGCCCAAACGCCCCCATGGCCCGGCACAGTATCTGTTTTGGCTTGCTCGCCTGTCCCCTTACCCAATCTGTCCAAGGTCGCTGGATACCGATCTTCGGCGGTTCAAAATCCGTTAACTTACGTTAGGTTTTCCTGTTGGACCCTTCCAGCCCTTCATTTCCTTACAATCTATTTCACGATGTAGAAGACATTGTGGGATACCCCTCCGCAATCATCAGCAAATAATCATGTATTCCACCCAAGACGAGTGGAAGAGTGGCCGGTGATACTAATTTGAGCAATCATCTCATCGTTCTTCCTACATCAAGATTAACTCACCTTGAGTCCGATTCCCAGGAAAAAAGCAAGCGGTCCGTTACAGTTGACGTGCAGGACGTTGTTTATTATAGGAATTTGTGTGGCACGTCGGCGCGTCAGCCATCCTCTATTCCATTCGACCACTACTACGACTAACCTGGGTGCAATCTATCGCGATGTAACAGACCGTAGCTCACAGTAGGTGGGTATTCTGTATACTGTTGTAAGTGTCTATCGATTGTTACCTACATGCGTCGATGAAGAAGTTGGGAGGCCTGTTGCGGTGACCTCACGATGTGAAGTTGACATTTGTCAAGACTTAACTTTGCGTTGTTTTCAAGAGATCCGGTCGGACGACGGCAATGCAGATCTACATATGTATGTATTCCGTAGGTCCTAGGCCCTTGGTGACTTGACTCCACCACGATCCGACCTCCCGCAGTGCTGTTTCTCTTTTCCTCACGTGCACATAACTATATCATTTTTATAGAGTAGGTAGTTACCTATTAAGTCAAATCCTTTCTTTAAGAATTACGGAATAGAGAGTATACAAACCGATAGACCGCTATTTTATTTCCTGGTGGCAAAACAAATCGAGATTTTTCGAATATTTTTAAGATCAGTAACACGTCGTCCGATAGAGATGGCACTGTTGACAATATATTAGTACACATGTAGTCTAATATTTCTTTTTAACGCGGCGATGGAAGCGCTACAGTCCGGTTACAGTGTTTGCGCTTCTGCAGGTTTATCTTTCAGTCTTCGCTGATTGGAGGCTGCAACTTCACTAATGCGAGTGCGTTTGGAATGCTTGGGCTTTAAAGTCGAGGCTCCAGCTCTTGTATAACCGTGTCCGGGTTGTCGAGTTAAGGAGCCGGGGGTCTGCTTGACCGCCAAATTAATTAATGTATTATATGCACATTATATGCACATTATATGCACTTTGTATGGCTGACAGTCCAATAGCAATAACTTTCTGTGCTGATTCGCCTGTTGTAATCATCAACTTCACGTGCCTTTTTGTTCGCGCTGTACTTCGTATACGAGCATGGCTCCGAAGCATCGCTTATGTCTGACAGACTAATGGATCTTGATAACGCAGGCCTCGTGCTTTGACATCATACTCGTTGGCTTACACGCTGTGACGTCGAGTATACGCGGATAGGTATAGGTAGTGTATATATATACTTTGGTTTTAATCACCCCGCTAGTTAGCGATATGCAAGATCTCTGAAGATCACGGCCTCTTGGATTCTCGACCTATGCGTCTTTTCTTATGATACATATTACGGACAAGGTTCTAGGATCCACACAGTTAAAAGGCGATAGCCCCGAATATAGTGGGAAAAGGGTCTTCAAAGTGGACCTGAATCTCGGGTTTGTTATCGCCGAGGTATGATTGGCCCTCACTTTCAGGTTAACCCATGCTTGGCAAAGGCTTTCCAACTCAGTGACCGGCAGCAATGGCGGGGTTAATGCTGGTGTCTCAACTTAAACTCCCCGCAACACAACCGCAGACGACTCTTACTCAGTAGCCCTCTCCTGCAAGAGCTTCACAAGCAAATATCATTCGATATTGGCGTAATAATACCGATGGGGTGACTACCCACACATGCCAGCTGATTAGTAGGAATGGTAGAAGTGGCATATTATGCGTGTATAATATAGTTACATATGTTCATGATGAAGGTCTGAAGTATAGATCCTATTAGTTTGGTCCTATCGAGTCATCTTGGGCTCCATCTACCCAACGGCCACTCTTACCCCCCTCCTTTAGAATGACTCTCAACCCTTGGATGCTCATCCCCTTATCTACCGCCTTGCACATGTCATATACAGTTAACGCTGCTGTAGAAGCCGCCGTAAGAGCCTCCATCTCCACCCCGGTCTTGCCTTCGCAGGCTACGGTAGCCTCGATCTCAACTCGACCATTTTTGCCATCCTCTTCTTCGAGCACAACAAGATCTACGGTGACCTTGGTAATAGCAATGGGATGGCATAACGGAATGAGATCAGATGTTCGCTTTGCAGCCATAATACCGGCCACGCGAGCCACCCCTAGAACGTCGCCTTTCTTGATTTGATTCTCCTTTATGAGTTTGCATGCCAACTCGGTTGTAAAATAGACGCCGCAGGCTGCCTTGGCGACTCTCTTGCTAGGTGTCTTGTCTGAGATAGAGACCATGTGGGCAGAACCAGACTCAGATACATGTGTCAATCTAGTTGTGTCATGCTTCCTATCAGGTCGTGAGCTGCTAAGTGAGAAGCATCGTAATTGCTGCCCATTAAGGAAACGGGTTGGCACTTTAAGCAGCCAAGGGGAAAGCTGCTTAGAAGCAAGCGGTACGACAGGAGGATTTTTGATAGTATCCCAAGCCGAAACTTGAGAGCGATTGGCTGGGATATATTGCTGCGAATCTGCCAGATAACCATTCAGTTCGAGTCCTCCTAGACGTTCCAAGTCAAGCAAGACTTGCACCTGGCCGCAATCCTCCGAGGGTTCGTTTTCGCGCGCCAGGAGTGGTCACCCACCTATGAGTATCATGGGCCTATTCTTCATATGTTCCAATTCACCGATGCCCGCGTGCTTAGCCTTTTTCCTCTTTACAGCCATACCTATGACCTCCAAGAGTTTACGCTCATTAGGTGCTATGCCAAAGGAAGCTGGTTCTTCTGATATTCGCCGTCGCCTGTCCATCGCTATAGTCCTCATTGCCTCATAAGTTTCTTGGTCGATCGGATCGCCGCCATTGGATTCCCTTAATATATCTCGCAACGAGACTTCTGCATTGCCAAAAAGACAAACTTTAAGATTTCCATCGCTTGTAATGCGGAGACGGTTGCAGGTTCCGCAGAAATTATGTGTCATGCTGGTAATAAAACCAATCCTACCCACAAACCCGGGGATCTTGTAGGTTTTGCTGGTATCATTCTTGTGATCTCGTACCTTCTCGAGACCGGGGTAATTCTGGCGAATACGATCCAGCATTTCGGTATAACTGAACATTTTACCCTTGTTCCACTTATTGCCATCGAATGGCATGTATTCGATGAATCTCACTTCAATATCTTTCTCTCGAGTCATCTCAACGAAAGGAATAATCTCTCGGTCATTGATACCTCGCATGATAACCGCGTTGACCTTAAGCTTAAGACCAGCCCCGTGCTTATTCAGCTCGAAGACTCTCTCGATGCTTTTCATCACGGCATCGAATCCTTTCCGCCGGGTCATAATTTGAAATTGCCATGGATCTAACGTATCCAGGCTTAAGTTAACACCCGTTAAACCGGCCTCCACCATTCTCTCCAGCTTTCGGTGAAGAGCTATACCATTAGTCGTAAGACAGATTTGTCTGAGGCCGTGTGACCGAAGGGCGCCTATCTGCTCCATCAGAGATAGGATATCCTTTCTGATAGTAGGCTCACCGCCGGTGAGGCGGATTTTGTTCACACCCTGGGAAACAAATAGAGATGACAGCATCACAATCTCCGGCGTTGTTAGTAGTTCCTTTGGAGGGGAGAGAGGGACGCCTTCCTCTGGCATACAGTAGATACACCGAAGATTACACCGTTCCGTAAGCGAAATGCGCAAGTAGTCGTGCTGTCGATGAAAAGTGTCGGTAAGAAAATCGGAGAATGGCTTTGCATCTTTCAGCAGTTCGCGGCGTGAGAACGGAACGGTTGGCGTCTCAACCGGATTCGCCGGCTCCGGTATGGTCTGAACGGCGGCGGCGGCAGCAGCAGTAGTGATTCGTCGAAGAGGCTCAGTGCGACATTTTCCGAACCGGGGCTGCAGACCCTCCGATACGGTCCGCGCCCAACGAGGCGGGAAAGCCCTGTACGTCATATTGAGGATATGTCCTACTAAATCAAGATTTTACGGGGAATAAGGCATCATGACCATGTTGGTTTCCCTTTTTTGTATATAAGACAATAATTGAGAAATCTGCCATATACTAGCCTTTGAGCGATTTCAATAGATGTTATAATTCAAGGTTCCGGAGCGTTGCCACAAGCGCGGAGATGTGTATAACTAAGATGAGTAAGCAACGGATTAAAGACCAAAGCCGGACAAGCATGAGGAAGGTGGATCAGGACCTATGTAATCCCTAACCCGCCAAAAAAAAAATAATAAAATAAAAACCACATTAGCCATGTACCTACCTACCTATTACAATTGAAAGTCAACAAATAGTGGACCTGCCACTTACATACCTATGTACATAGTACATACCTTACCCACAAATACAGCACCTAGGTACCAGCCTACGAGATTGTAAGAGTCCTCCTCCAAACCCCCCAATTGAATACCTACCTACCTACCTAATACATACTAAAGCTGAGAGCTCGCAACGTCTGACCAATCATCAAGTCATATCATCAAGTCTTATCAAACAGTTCCCTATCAACTACTTTTGAGCTGACAAGTTAACTGGTTGTGGTGGTTGCGGCTGATCATCCTAAGCTGTGGCAGCCGTGCCTTGCCGTGCGTTGACGTGGTTATGACTGTACCCTCACGAAACCAATTCTGACCGGTTTCATTGTCAAGCTGTATAATAACCAGCATTAAACCCGGAACTAACTCAACCAGAGACATAGCCATCATAACATGCGTTTTTCAAAAGCCCTTCAGTGTAGGACTTCACCCCTAAGTTATACGATAACAAACCATTATCTTTCTGTTATCTTTCTGTCATCTTTCTGTTTAATTTTATTGTACAATACCCTAAGCCAGCTACTGATTCTAGCCGCTAGCATCGCCTCACTGTTACCCGAGCCCAGATGGCGAGCTCATTGCCACGCTCTTGCCATCAAGTATTGTTGTACGAGCTATCAAGTCCTTAGATGTCCTACGAAGCATCAAACTACCACCAGATCTCACGGGCGGCGTATCAAGTTTCATTTGGTCGCCTTCCTCCACACGATTATTAGTGGCTGTTGTCGATCAGATACATGTATTTTCGGCCCGAGACGGCAATTTTCATGGAACCGTTAGGATTCCTTCTTCCGCCACCAAGCCTACCTTCGTCGATTTTGGAGCTGCTGATCACGAAATTTGCATTTGGTCGCCTTTCGGCATCAAGCTAACCGTTATCAATCTTGCAAGCTCAAAAGCAGTAGAAATTGCTAACCCCAAATTTTACAATGCCGCCTCTGCGACGAAGGGATACTCCTTTCGGGCGAGCTCGCATCACCTTGCGTTACTCACAAGGTCTTCCGGCAAGGACATGATTAGCATACACTCGCCAGAAACGAGGTACATTGAGCGGTCCTGGTATCCTGACACCATCGATGCCCAAGGATTAGCTTGGACTCCAGACGGGAGGTGGTTGGTGGTGTGGGAATCATCTGCCCAAGCCCCCAGGGTCCTTTTCTACACTTCTGACGGCCACATTTTCAAGGATTGGAGAGGTCCCCTCCCATGCGAATCTCAGGACATGGGCCTTCAATATAGTGCAGGTGTTAAACTAGTCACTCTGAGCCCAGATGGACGACATGTCGCAATTGCTAACGGTTCTGCTTGCACATGCATCCTAAATACTCCATCTATGGTGGAAGCCATGCGGCTCCGGCATCCTCAGGTTGTCCAACCGAAAGATACATTACAAGTAAGTCGCCCCTTTGGCGGGGTTGTGTGACAGTCTCCGTTAACTGGAAAGATCTGGCAAGAGCAAAATACATTTCCAAATACTGCATCGTTCTCGTCGCCAGCATTCATCAAAGCCACCCAGATGGTGACCCCCGAATGGACAGCATTGAATAGCCTTCAGGAACCTGTGTCAGGCTGTAATTTTGCCAAATTCGACTGCTCTTCGTCCCTTCTGGCCACGAGGCTAGAAGATGCACCAGGTACGATCTGGATCTGGGATGTTTCTAGTTCCGATCTTCGGGCGGTGCTGATGTATCATTCCAATGTAACAAAACTAGAATGGCACCCTATGCAGCCCGAGCTCCTCCTCATAAGGTGCGAGGGTGATAGCTACGGCAATCTCGTGTTCGCCTGGGATCCTTTAAGCCACGGCCCGCGCTTGGTTGACTTAGCACACCGGCTTCCAGGCACGACTAGTAACAAAACGTACGCCACATGGCTGGGAGCAACATCAGAATCTCCTGCATTTTTCTTTAGTGACAGCGCAACCTGCATAATGGTTTCGCTTGCAGATTCCGATGGAGAAATCCTTCCCTGGCGAGATGCTTCTGCACCCATTAACACCATTAGCTATAGAGACGATATGGACATGCGGTCATCACTAAGGCCCGCATCACCCTTAGAGGATGCCGAAGACAGCATCCTAATTGACATGGACGATGATACTAGCGAGCCAGATGATACATTCCAGTTCATCACGCACTAAGCTACACAAATATTCTATCATATCTCAAACAAGTGAGATATGAGACAGGACACCCGGAACCGTGGGATTATAATTTTCAGCTCAGTTCCGAGGGCAATGTCAACTATTCCGAATGCAATAATTAGGTAGTCGTCCAGTCACGTCGAAGATACAAGGTGCCTCCAGATATTCGTACTGTTTGCGTGACGATCAGTTCAAATCTGCTACGGAGATTCGGCCAAACCGCAAATGTAAGACGCTAACGAGGAAAAAGAAAAAAGAGACCATTCGGTCTATGAGCAATGGCTAACAAATCATCTTAGGATTCGGTAATCATCGTTGTTTCGAAATGAAATTGCCGTTAGGAATACGTCTGCCAAGTCAATAGCTTAGCTACCTCTTAGGTAGATTGGAGATGGTGGGCGGCTTAAGTTGCGCAACAGCCAACAACGGGCAGCAGGCATAACCCTTGCTGTGTTACCCATGCAAGAAAACGTTCTTGGAGAGGCAATCTACTTCGAGATGTTTGCCAACCGCGGATATTCGATCCAACTTGCCGCTAGTAAGTCTAGTAAGTAGCAACATTGTACTATGTAGGAGTATTTCATAAGTCACCGCTCAAGAAAAGCCCAATAGCTAACGAGCATTAAAAGTCATGCAAAAAAAAGCCACCTCCACGATGCCCTTGCTGCAGAATGCGTGGTTTGACCATCAAAGTCGAAACAACAGATAGTTGGATGCTGGCGTTGAGAATCCCGAGGTACGTGAGCCTCAAAAGACATAGGCTACAGTTATCCAGGCCGGTGGAATCTAACAAGCCCTCGGGTTTAACTCCAGTCGTCGTGATAGGTGAGATTGTCCTTTTCTAGATTCCTTTCGTACTGCGTCAAGTTACCCACTTCAGCTAACACTCATTCTAGATCTCATCCAACGGATGATCTCCTTAACGTTAGTATTAGGATCACCCCAGTCACCGGGTACAATATGGCAAGGGAGTCACCTGCCAATGCCTCGTCAGCTTCGATCGATTCCAGATCTTGGTCCTTGGACGAAATATGAGGGTTCATTATGCCCAGCAACGTCTTGGTTTGGCTGTCTCCTTCATGCAGCTAGCGTACCTCCGTGATCAATGGCGGCCAAAATCCTATTGGACTATGCAGAGTAGCATATCTACGTTCTAACAATATGTCTATGTTTATAACCATGGTTTTCTTCACTCGCTGAAATATCCGCCTAATCGATGATGCATGTCACCGATAAAGAAAGCCTTTACCTATTGGATGTACCTGACGCGGAACGACCTATCTTGAAAGGTATTCTTGCATAAGTTTAAGCTTCTAATATATCCCCCAAACCCTCAGGCAGCAGTGCTATTCTGTGTGACCCTAGGCGATAGTGAAGAAAACAGGTCCTGGCCAGCACGTATTTTAGATCATAGGAAACCTCGTGCAACATATAAAGAGCCCCATCAGATCGTTCATACTGCTGTGCTTGTTCCACACGATTTTCTCATCAAGGGTGCACCCTACCAAACATTTTCGAGTAAAGTCTGGAAAGCTGCAGCTGTCCGTTCACGATGTCTTCGGATACCTTCTCTCATCAAGTCCCCATCAATGGGACTATTCAAACAAAAGTTCCACCAGGAAATCAAACAAACATATACTATATTCTGGTCTCAAACGTAAGTCCAACATGAATTGATGTTATCTACATCTTGCAATCTGTATTATACAGCTTCTTCGTGCTGATAATATGTGTAAAAGTTACCATGGCAAACGTCTTGGCAGCAGCTGAAAGACCATGTGCGGACCGTGAGCGCCGTTGAGCGAGTTGAAGTATTCAACGAGAGTACATCTGGCTGGGTCTCGGTTCGGGGTCGGGAGAATTATGATGCAGCTCTTCGTACGTTGACGTCCTAGGTCAAACATTTTTTTAGTAAAAATTTAACTGATAATCGATTACAGGTTTGCTTAATGGGGGTGTCTTCAACGGTCGAGCACTTCTAGCAGACGGTAAAAATGCCACAGAGCCTATTATGATCAGAGAACCTGTGGGTGTCTCTGCAACTGGAAATTCCACCTCAAAAATCTCCCATACACCGAGGTATAGAACGCCTCCCTCGACACAATACTCGGCCAGTACGCCGCCACTGATGTCGCCGCTCGCGACAGGATATGGGGAGGTAAGAATCCCCCAACCCAGACAAAAAGAGGCCAACTAACTTTCTACAGTGGACATCTCCCACAAGCCCTTCATCATACGTAACCACTTCCGCAATGGAGTGCACACCTTACAGCATATCTGTAGCTATGCCTTATGATTATAATGAGGCGTCTAACTGCTATACCTACGATACGTCGACTACTAGCTACTTAGACCAAACAGCCATGGTTTCGTCCCCTACGATGGTACAATATCCTTTTGAGGCAGCTTACTCACAGCAATATCAGATGGGTGAGTATCACGGAAACGATTACGCCATGTATAGCAATTTACCCAGCCCGGAATCTATATCAGCCAGACCCAGTGATTCCTCAAATGGCATGGTTCCCACAAAGCAGCGCAAGATTATCGTGAAGCAGCTTCAACCTTGGGTTACCTTCAACCAGGTACAAGACCTCATCCGAAAAAAAGCCGGATCCGATGCTGATAAAATTCAGCACGTTGACCTACCACTAACGGAAGGCCAAGAATCAAATAGAGGCTATGCCCTCGTCACATTTCAAAACGAAGAAGTAGCCAACAAGCTAGTTCGGCGGCTTAACGGGTACAAGTGCGACGGCCGTGAGTTAAAGGTTGATTATACCAAAGAGGGGGTATCAGAAAATGAGACGGTCCAGTCTCGGACCTCTGGGCATAAGGAGAGACGGGAAGACCGAGAGAAAAGGGAGAAGAAGGAGGTTCCTCGAGGGTTGAGTTCCAGCGACAAAAAGAACAAATCCCATAAATCTGGTGTGGTTATTGCCCACGGGTCCTCCTCCTCCTCGTCTTCAAAAAAGTCAGACGTGAAGGAGAAGCCAAGCAAGCGGCATTAGACCAACACAGTTCCCCCTAAGCTGAGCTACGATGATTTGGGCTGGAAGGGTTACACTAGGATGAAGCGATGGGTTTTCATGTTATGGGTAAGCCACGATCTGCGAAATTTTGTTATTGGCTTTCCTCCATTGCCTCCTAGATATGGAAGGCGGGTTACCTGTTGGCTGGTATACATGGTGGTTCAACTGTCGCTACCGTAATGTAACTAGGTACGCACCTGTAGATGTCCATATGAAAAAGAAATCAGGCCACTCCTTGGCTATGTCCGATAGGAAGCCCGAAACCCATCGTATAATTAACATGACCACGCCCGATCTGCCTCTAGAGTAGAGTATACTCATCATAACAGATTCATAACAGATCCAAATGCATCACCATCCCCTTTCCAGCCAATGCAGGTTCTTCCGTCCCATGCTTTGCGGGGGCCGTCATAGCATAATTTACTACGCCATCGTAATCGTCTTCAGAAATGGGCTGAACACAGACGGATAGTGAGCTCATTCTCATCGAAGCCACTCTCGCTCTCGCTCTCTCCCTCGCCCTCGCAACTATGGAAACTAGAATATGTGCTCATGCTATGGCACATGACGGATCATCTCGTGTTTCTCTCGTCCCTATAAACGCTGCATCGGCGTCGTCAGTCGTTTGTATGAGGTTATAATCCCAGAACCACACCTGCATATGCAGAACACGGCCGCAGCACCGGATATGCACGTATCTTAAAAAATCCCTCTCCCTGCCTGCCACTAGTACCCCCATCATGGGAGCTTCATACGTCGTCCCTTACCCTGGTCTGACGTTCGAGATTGCCGGGTTGCTGTTACACGGCGTCTAGGCTTGCAGATGCCCCTACCCGGCGTGCGGATCTATATGAGCCCCCCTTGCTCCCCTTGCTCCCCTTGGTTAGGTACCTCTTTTTATCACCCCCACGCACCCCAGTTGTCTTATATTAAAAATGTATCCGGGTCGCAACAGGTGCCATCCCCTCATGTCATACGTGAAGTGCGCAGGCTTGGCAAGACAAAAAGGGCTCCTAACGGCAGCGCGCTTGTTCCCAGCAAGCCCCGACTCGCCAGCCCCGGCTTCCCGTCCCCCCCCCCTCTCCTAGCCCACGCCTACTCCGCCGTTCGTTGCATGCATACATGTAATGTCTCTTCTACTCAGGTCGAGACTTGTCGATCGATCTACATCGTTGGGGCCTATGAGACCTAGAACGCGTGGGGTCGCGTCGTCTACTAAGGCATAGAGACTAACTTGCGTACGTACCTATATAGGTTAGCTGCCAATATAATATTTATTTCTTTGCTCGATACTCGGGATTCAAGGCGAAAGCAATGGCTCGACAATGCAATTGGGATTCTCCCGGTCTCGAAAGACGGCGTAGAAGGTATTCTGTACATTCAAACCGGTGTAGGTCGTATCTCGGCTATCTTGTAGTTATACCCGTGATCCCCGATGAATCTGACAGGGCCAGGTCAGCTCGGAGTTGATTCCACACCTTGAGATTGGCCTAGCCCGCGTTGCCGGTATGCAAAAGTCCTTATCAGCCAAGCCATCACGCTGTGGTGTTAGAGAATATTATGTAAACACCGCGGTGGTGTCGCGGTCAGGCCTGGTGTCACCGTCTAGAGTACAGCTATATTCCCCGTACCGAGAGGCGTGACAATATAGGTCCTGCATCCACCGACCGCTGTAATCGGTCTTGGCGACTTATTTCATACGCCACCGTTTCTTTCTCTTTTCTGCTTCTCCCCCTCCTGATTCGTCCGGCATGGCATTACAAGAAGGGGGCATAGCACCCGTGTGGTTAGTATAAATATTCGGGACAATGCGCTCGCCCGCCTTCTAGGGTCCTCTAGTATGGGATCGAACGTATCTCTGTATGATACTGGTCATTAAGGCTAGGGACTTCCCGGGAGGCTAAGTTCCGATGCGAACAATCTACGTAGCCCAAGCCATTACATCGTTCTCAGCCTTGCGATGTACCTAGCCGATCGATACGGAAAGGGGGCACATGCATGAGAATCCTCCAGGGCATATGTTGCCGGTCTAAAATTGTAGGGCTATAACATCCCCTTTTTCTTTTCTTCTTTTCTTCAGATCCCGGAGCATAGATCCCGAGGTAAATAGAACCGACTCAGACGAACACCTGCATAAAATAAAATGACATGTCATTATCTCGCCATGAAAAGAAAGCTTATAGCTTATAGCTGGGCATTGCCTCGACTACGTACGTTAGGAGGTAGACAATAAGTCGCCGACCCTGCGGTACCTGTCTGCGTCCCGTCTCCCGAACCAGCCGTATCCAACCGGCTTTCATCCAGTCTGCCAGAGAAAACGACACGATGGGGCGTACAACCTAAAGACCATAGACGCCAACTCTTTCCGAAATCTCTACGTTCCGCTGCTACGAAGTTGCTTCGCGTCGGATAGTAGATATTATCAATTACGTGGCACCCGGTTGCCTTCCCTTTTCTATACCACATTAGTTGAAATAGGGCAGTTCTCACCAACTCGTCTACTGCCTCGACTCGGCCTTCCCCGGTGCGCCACAAGAATCCCTCATTTCGACCGGAGAAAATGGGAACATGTATCCCTTCATCCGTACAAACTGCAAAAAGTACGCCCTAACTCTATGCAGCCATAACATTCCGAGCACTCGGTCTTAAGTGTTCTGTCGGATAAGGATTCAAACAGGGGTGTCGGCGATGCTGTATTCAATTCAAGAGCAGTATCACAAAACAGGCCAAGAAGAAAAGAAACGAGGAAAAAATCAGGCTGTGAAGCGGCGCTAGGAGTTACTGCCACCCCGATGTTAAGGTCCCAGAGTTGTCTCTTAAGTGATGCTCCCGTCGATTAGGGAGTAAAATATGTTGAGATATTTGCAACATTTCAAATATTGGAGGGCTCAGGAGAGAAAGAATTAGGAGGCATAGCTAATAGACGTCATAGCATCGCTACGGTTATATATAAAGTTGAATTAGAGTTATGATGAGCAGCTTAGACGATCTAATTGGATCGATCTGTGAATGAAACCCTTGCATGCCATGCCCAGCAAAATTCCCTGTCGTCGTGGATAAAATCTACGGCTCTACACTAAGCATGGATAAATCCGCACCCCAGCTTTGCCCATTCTATGGTTCTGGGTAATTCAATCAAATGGTAGTTAATATTGACTAGTGGAGTTGTCTTGGTATTTGCCAGCAAATAGCAGCCGTAGTCGAAGGCTTTGATCATGTCGCGATGAGGCCGCCCCCGGCCTACTCTTCGGTTGCAACGTAGTGGGCAAGGGTAACGGGTGGACATGGTGCTAACATTACGTCTGATGGAAGAGCGTTACAGACGAAGCTAGAGTAGAGAGCCCGTAGCTATAGATCTTTAATCCACTATTGTTTTCTACCTACCTAGGTAATTAAGAGAACCTATTCTATAGAGAAGATATTCCAAGCTTGAGACCAGCAGCACTAAGCGAAACAAGAAACGAGAAATGAAAACCATGAGAAACTCACTATTCCGCATCACTCTCCCCTTATTCTCCCTGATCGGCGAGTCCCAAGCCCTCCTACCCCCATCCCACAACTGTGCCATCAACCGCACCATCCCCATCCCCCTCCCCATGCCCCCCTCCGCCGCGCCCTCCCCACAGTCCGTCGCCGGCAACTCCGACTGCGCAGCCGCATCGGCCAGCACAGCATTCAGCCTCAGCTTCATCAGCTACGGGAACTACACCGCGCTGCCGGGCCAGGGCGAAGACGACGGGGGCCTGGTCCCCCGCCAGCTGATGTCCATGTCGTTTGCGGTCGTCAACGCCGCCAACGGCGTGTACACGGTCTGCGCGTTCCCGCTGGGCCACCTGTCCGGCGGCGGCGGCCAGCCGGCTTCTTGGGTCGACGATGCGTCGTGGCAGGCGTGTGCGGATCGCCGCGACTCCGACGGCAAGCACCGGTTTACGATCGCGACGGGCGCGGCGTTTAACCGCGCGGAGCGGTTTCTTACCGTGAACCAGACGTGGTTTTGCCACGATGAGGTTGGACGCCTGTGAGTTTTGAGATGTTGTTTCTTGCGTCTGTTTAACCCCCTTTCCCGTCCGTCTGGAGTCTTTCTCTAGCCTAATTCTACTATCTACCCCCTTACGGTCTTCCGTGGGGGGAGAAATAAGTCCAATGCTGGTGCTGGCTACTAGAGAGAGCATTTGCTTTGTAGACTGCCCACCTCGTTTCCCTAGTCGTGGAGACTTCCCTGATGTTTTATCTAGGGTTGCGTATACGGGTATTGCGAACGGTAGTTTAACTATGGGTTGTGTCGACGGCGGCGAATTGGGCGGCTACCATGTCGAGAACTGCACGGCGCCTGATGGGACACTTCCGGTGACGCTACTTTAGGATTACGAGTTTCTTCTGGTATGACCACCATGTCACATTGAGTTGGCTCTATCTCACCTGACTCGGTCCGAAGGATTCATGGGTCGTAACTTTACGGGAGCTTTGTTTACCTCCGTTGAAACATATCGTGGGAGGCTCTTCGCAATGTTGTTGTTTCCACCTAGATGTTTAAACATATTAATTATCCCTAGGCCGTATTGGCGAAGGGGATATAATAGCAACGAGAGTTGTGAGAAATAAAAGGAAAAAATATTTGTGGTTGGAACGAGTATAGGGAAGAGCTTTGGGCCTTTCGGCGTTCAAATTACTCCTTTATAGTCTTAATATGTTAATAATGTCTATAAAGCAGCCATCGATTCCTGTTCGGATATTCAAGCTTTAACTCTCTGGTCTGTCTGCTTTACCTACCTGATTCAAACATGACCGTATACCGGCCAATGCTCTTAATCCCTTTTCTATAAACAGTCTAAGCGTACTTTCCATAATTTATGCCGTTGCTGTGAAGTCCTGCCGATTAAGGTCATCTTAAATAAATATGTGTAATCCAAGCTCTAGTCGGAACATATTGCTGCTAGGATCCTAAGTGTCTCATGTGCGGGCTTTCTATGTTGATAGAATGTTTGGTATAGCTATAGTAAGAAGTCCTAGATTATTTGATATTTATGGGATATTCTCTTAAAGTGAACCCCTTATTCCGTACGGCAACACGAAGATCGAGCTAGCCCCTATTATACTTGCCCCGGAGAGCCTATTGGTATTTGAATACAATAAATACTGATACAGCGTAAAGGACGATTGGATAAAAAACCATATACGAATTGTAAAAGCCTCCCGCACAATCATCTACCACAACACCCTGTTCCTGGCGTATAGCACAGGCGCTATAATTGTCAAAACACCAGATAATTTGAAAATTGCCTCACGTCATTCATCATCGTATTTGAATCCCATTAATACAAAATATAATAACCACAGCCTATTTTGCGACCTGACCAAAAGGCCTGGTCGATGTTTGGTGAGACCCCTGGTTGATTCCATAATTGCCTTCAAGCTCGACCACAGGAGCTTGCGCGTAGAACCCTATTGGAAACTTTATCTCCTGTCCGACGCCTTGTAATTCGATAGGTTGAGGACCGATTTTCCGTCTTCTTGATCGAAACAGGCAGAAAGCTATAATTCCTAGAAGAATAATACCAAGAGCAACGCCAAAACCTATACCGGCCTGTGCCCCGGCGGATAGACCTTGCGCACTTGATGATTGTGTCGGTAAAGCTTGTATTGTTGACATCTGTGACGGCGGAGAGGATATTGCACTGCTAATAGACGAGTCGGCTGCCTTGTCCGTGGTACTCGGGAGGTCAGAGGCCTGGTGGTTAAGCTGGAATAAAGGGGCGAAGACTGTAAAAGTCGAGATAACATGGATAGTGCTAACGTCGACAGCAGCGTAAGGTATCGTCACGTATTCAAAATGAGCGCTAGTCCCGGATTCGCATGTCACAGTCGGGACCGTAGTTGAGGTCAATGTCGTGATGCAAGTATGGCCCGCAGCATGCCGAGAACAGGCATATCCCCTTTCCGTATTTTTAGTATCGAGTTTTTAAGAAGGGTTGTTTTGACCTACGGCGGGCAACAACCGATAGCTGTTTCTGATTCTTCAGCGTTGAAGTAAAAGTTAAAGTCCCCTGTCTTCCGCTCGCCATCATATGAACAAGCCGTCGTGTATCCCTGAGGACATACGAGTCCCGGTGAGTATATGCCCCATGCGAAGAAAGGTTGCGCCGGTGTTGTTGCCCCCAGGGTCCTGGGAGGCCAACACGACGGTTCGTCGCGAACTTCATCAAGCCCAGCGCAGGTTTGAGCTAGCCATCCATAAGAACATGTACTGCAACCTGCAACCGCGATAGTGCAAGCAGGCGGTGCCGCCCAAGTTGTTGTCAAAGGTCCTAGCAGTACTGAAGTGCCGGTTGCCAAAGCCATGCTATCAAACTCGGGGCTAGAAAGGTATAATATATACAGTTACTTAGAAAAGGGGCTATAAACATGAAGAAATGGAATTGAAAATCAGGAAACAGGATTGTGGAGTAGGCTGGACGGTGGGAGAGGGGGATTCATGTATGACACCTTTCCTAGCCAAACAGCCACAGGGACCAAAACATGAAAACAGCGCTAAACGGGCCATTTTATTCCTTAGATGCGCTTCTATCCTAGTTTCATACTACCAGGGCCATATTGTGCACGAGGCTGGAAACTGCATTTCTGGATATAGGGTCGGGCGCGATTATGGGGAGGCCCCTATGGCCCCCCTATACTCTTAAGCTTAGGATCATGTAAAGCCTGGGGGTTTCCTGTATAGTGGTAAAACGTGTAAGACGATACACACCATCTTAGGAAATCATCGCAGTTCAGCCGCACCCGAATTAGAAATTGCTATCGGTATGTAGGTATCTGTTGAGTTTTAGATTGGATGACTTGTCATATCATATCCTTCCGTGCCAATAACCAGCTGCGATTGGTTACACAGCCATGGCATTAAGACTTTGTCTCAGAGCAGGCCTGCAGCCTTACTAGACGCTCCTTGGAGTTGCTATACACTTTTGGAACATGGTTTTTCTAGCTGTAGGACTCCTTTAGCATCATCTACTGTTACCTTAAAGGTTGCATGGCGCTTACCTATAACCCTACTTGGCTCAATGCTTATTTGCGAGTAGGTCCTGTCGTTTTATTATATGTAGAAGATTTAATATTCGATGGCTGAATCTTTAGGTAAGATTCGAGATTAGATCCCACTAACCCTCTTGAAGTCAGCAGTCTATGAGATAATTTCTGCGGGCGAGATAGATATAATAGTGTATACGACTCTAATAAATATCAAGTTTTCTTTGCCTTTGTGGTCTTTTCTTGGCCTTTATGAATGATGTTAGTGGACGGTGTTGAAGACAAACACATTAATGTAAGGTAGGTAGGTACGTTGTACAATACATAGAGACAAGTACCTAAGTACCGACTTTTTGCTCACTAATCAAGCCAAATAATTGGGTACCTTGATGGTTGTATATCAATATACATAGAAGGATCGATCTGAACCAATGACCACTAACGCTTACCTTTCGTCACCGCCTACTTGATTTGGAATTTAGTCAAGAACGCCTAACGGTATCGATTTCGGATCTGTAGCGCGTTGCTAACGCAAGCTCCAGAATCCAAGCTCCCCGTCCTGACAACGCCGTAACCTAGACATTCTCTTAACCAACTTCAATCCCGCCTACATGCTCAACTACCCTAGGCATAATACTCTCTTAGGACTTTATTCATATTATTTCTGTGCCTATGTACTATAGGTTCTTCCAGATTTAAGGATACATAGCATCCTAAGTTTTCTGACATCTTTTTTTTTTTTTGAAGTTGCATTCTAGCCCACCATGTCTACGGTTACCGCCACGGCGCTTCAGAGCGCATATCCTCCCGTAATCCCCCTCTCGTTTAATTCGAACCAGCCAAACACGATCCGACTGTATCCCCTTTCCAATTACACGTTCGGGGTGAAGGAGACGCAACCAGAAGAAGACCCTTCAGTTATAGCACGGCTGAAGCGCCTCGAGGAGCACTACAATGCCCACGGAATGCGTCGTACCTGCGAAGGCATTCTTGTTTGCCACGAGCACAATCATCCTCATATTCTGATGCTTCAGATAGCAAACGCATTCTTCAAGCTACCAGGTGACTACCTTCGACCAGAGGACGACGAGATCGAAGGATTCAAGTCCCGACTAGATGAGCGATTGGCGCCGGTAGGCAAGCTGGGCGAGGGTGAGGAGCTGGCAAATTGGCAAGTCGGAGACTGTCTCGCGCAGTGGTGGAGGCCCAACTTCGAGACGTTCATGTATCCCTTCATCCCGGCCCACGTCACGCGACCAAAGGAATGCAAGAAGCTTTATTTCATTCAGCTACCGAAGAGTAGTACGTGAAGTCATCATCCGTCCTAATGTGCAGACCGCTAACCATAGACTAACCCAGAGGTCCTGAGTGTACCGAAGAACATGAAGCTGCTTGCCGTGCCGCTCTTCGAGCTTTACGACAACACCGCCCGATACGGACCCCAGCTTTCTGCCATCCCCCACCTCCTAAGCCGATATAACTTCGAGTTTGTCAACGAACACGGCGAGGTGGTTGCTGCCACGCCCGGAGCAAGCCCTGAGGGCTTCAACCTCAAAACAAAAGTCCTCGCCGGAGGCGATGAAGATATGAGAGACGTCAAGGAAGAGAATGGCCACAACTAGTTGTGGTAGCTATTCGGTGACCACATATCAACAGACGGGGCCTTGTGTCTCCAGGAAGGAATCGTCGCACGGAGAATGAGCCAATGGTTCTGGAAACGGGAAGTCTAAGGACAGTAATGAAGATGTTAATTCTGGCGCCGGGCCTGGAAAGGCTAGGAGATCATGAGTACCTAGGTAGGGTTCATCGAGGCTATCTCGAGCACCATATAGCCTGCCATCTCATGTGTGCTTTTGCATTGAAATAAGGTGCGACGAAACGGCGTACGGCGTAGGAATTAGATCGTGGCCTTGAGAGCTGGGAGCATCTGAACCGATCACGAGCTAGATAAAATGCAATAAAAGCAAGGCACAAGATGTCTCTATTCTGGTTCTATCTGAATTCATGCCTTCTCTCCTTGAATGGTCGCTACAACCTTTCTCGTATGCCTCACCTCTCGGAATTCGAGATACCAAATTCCCTGCCATGTTCCCGTTGCCTTATAGGAAGGAGATTAGCTACATTGCTTCCTTAATTAAGGGGAGTTGCGCGACTTACTAGTTTTCCGTCTTTTATAGGAATTGTAACACTAGCGCCGATGAGTGCCGATTTGATATGTGCCTTTTCTTTATTAGCATTTCCCCCGCCTGGCACAGAGGCTTTCTATATAACCTACGGGCATATCATCGCTTCCTTCAGCACTATGTCTATACAATTCCTCTCCCTTGGGTCCAGCTTCAGGCGCTATGCGGTCTAGCGCATCGCTCATATCAGCGCGCACGTCATCGTCCCAGTTCTCATTCAAGCTCAGCGCACAACTCGTGTGCTGGACAAATAGATTCAGCAGGCCGACCTTGTAGTTTCTGATCTCGGGGATCTCTTTGACGACGTGGTCGGTGATGAGGTAGGAGCCGCGCGAGCGTGGGGGCAGCGTGAACTGCTTCTGGAACCAGGACATGGTTGGCGCGGGTGGGGGTGGGGTGGCTGAAGATGAGCTTGCTGGATACAGATACGCGAGGGGGAGAGTGGATATGTAATGGAATAGACTCGGGAAGAAAGCTACGAGGAGCACGAGTAAGAAAAGTACGGTAAAGAAGTTGTGCGAAAAAGACGTGGTGGTGGGTTTGGATGTGGATGACGGCATGGCGATAAATGTTGTTGCATTTGGTGTTGCTTTGCAGCTTTGGTGGGGTTAATCTTCTCCCCCTGCGGGTTCAATTGGAGACTACATACCTAACTACCTATACATGCACTTGAACGGTCTTGTACCTTTGTCTTGATCCGGTTATGCAATTGCTACATAAAGTATTACGTATCATAACCTTAACTAAGAGATACGTATATCTTAGCCTTTGGGGATAAATCAACCAATGAGTGAAGGAATAAATCTAAGTCGGTTAACAAAGAGTTTAGCATAACAGGTAGTTAGCTAAATTTGGGAGTATGAGGTTTTATGTTGTGCTTTTACCAGGTGGTGACTTTTGTAAAGCATTTTTAAATACTTCAGCAGTCGGAATAATATGTACATAGCTGCATGGACTTCCTGTTCGGCCTAGGTAGACTTGAGAATTATATAATATCAATTCAGTACCACTCCATGGCTACCATTGATGGGCGAGTGTCTATCCTTATGCAAGAGGATACGAGGTCTGCGGTAGTGATTCTAGGTGCTCTCTGTTATGTTCGTTTGCCTGGAAACACTGATTAGTTATTCCCTCATGCGAAATATATCTGCTATCATCTCTCCAGGGAAGGATAGATAGATAATAGTTTTATATCAGAGATCGAACTCACAAATGGAGAACCGCAGTAGCCACAAGTAGCAATTTCCGGCTTGTCTGTGTTGATGAAGATTCGAGGATGTCCCGCCGGCCCCCCTCCACCGTCACATGCCACTATTCGGTCGTGGGTCCATTCGACTGGCTTCTTGTGGATGAGATCAATAGCTGCTCTCGGTTGAGGCTGAACTACTATTAGCTACGATTTGTAGGGTCGTGGACAAGCGTTGTGCAAATCTTACTTGGAGGGAGAAATCTGTCTGTTCGAATCTCGGGCCTGTCATGGCCGCAGCCCTGGGTTTTTGACTTCTCGACCAGATATCGGTTCGGTTTGGCGCCTGCGTCAATCCCCTCTCTTCATTCTCTACCACTCCCAACGAGTCCTCCTCGCTCTTGGTTTCGGGGGTAGTCTCGGATTTAGCTGCGACAGGGTTCGTGGTATCAAGAAGGCGGGCAGAGAGTGCGAAAGTGCGTCGAGTCGCACATGCTCGCTGAGGGAGCTGCAGAGACCTCTGAATAGTCAATCGCGAAATCATTGCGGCTTATTGTGGTCGTTAATTGAGGCGACTTGATCTAAAGAGGTTATAATATGATTATAATGATCTGAGGTTGATGGCCAGCTGCCGATGATTAGGTACTGGCTCTCGGGAGCTCGGACCACACGTATGGAAGAATCAATTAAAAGACTTACATAGGTACATAGTACATATGTACCTACCTGACTTGATTCTTTTTTCTTTTACAAGGGTGGAAAGAGCCGATTTGACAACGTCCGTACTTGCATTCAATTTCTTTTTTTCTTTTAGTTCCCTCGGCCCTCCTTGCGACGCGCCTAGTAGACCTAATATCCTTATCCATTAGGCCATTCATTTATTCTTAAGAGCACTACTGAATATATCCTACCGTCCCATACGATCCATACCTATACATAAAACTTTGCTCGAGAAAGCTACCTGTAGAGTCGCGACAAGATGGCGACACCAACGCCCCCCAAAAGCATGTCTTCAAGACTACTAACTATGAAGTTCATGCAAAGAGCTGTCGCCTCGCCCTCCTCCCCATCATCCGCCACGTCAACTCCAGACGAGCAAGCCTCTAAGCGACGTAAGGTGTCGCACAATCCAGCGAAGCGTGATAATACCAATTCCCTAGCACATATAGACCAATCCGCAGTACAAGCCGCGATTGCTGATCAGGAGAGGAAGCGCCAGGAAGCTGTGGTACAAAATGCTGCTAAGCTGGGAGACGCATATTGGGTGCTTGACATGCCAGAGGAGACAACAAATTCTAACCGTGGAATACAAACACCTCTGCATGTAGTTCAAGTTGGATTTGCACAGATTGATTCCCATATTGATGCCTCTGATGCTGCTGGCTTTGATGACTTTGAATCAACTGACGCCTCGCACGTGAGAACCCCAATAGTTAGACGGTATAATATGGATAACAAGAAGGTGAGTTTTGTTTTCCTCTATCACGTCCTCTATGTGTATACCATATCCCTTATCCATGTAACTTACCCACGTATAGGTGTCGAAGGACAGCGAGTCTGAAAGTGACGATTCTAGCTCTGAGTCAGACTCTGACGACTCTTCGGGAGATAATGAACGTGGCCGACATTCTTATGGCCAAAAGTCGGAAGGACGGTCGGAATCATCTCGTCCAGCCTTGAAAAGCCAGAGAAGTGCCGAACAAGTTAAAGCTAAGCAGTTTGCCGAGAAACGGAGGAAGAAGGAGGTTAAGTTGAATGGTGTTAAGTCATCTCCTGCCTCTGGCGGCCCATTATCCATATCCTCAGGAGGTGGTACTTCACAACGACAGCCCATGGACTTCACTTGTCATCGCTGTGGCAGACCGGGCCATAAAATTTCTCAGTGCAAGAATGCTCCTAAGCGGCCAACAAATTAAAATCCGCGCATAGTGTCTATTTACAGGCGTTGCTTTACATAATGGTATGTGCTAGCCCTTAGTTTCTAGATGTGGTTTCACTCTCAGGGCCAAGGCAAGTACATCGGATATGTTGCCACATGGGCAATTTTGCTCTTCACTGCAAAATTATTCACGTTGACATGCTCTCGGAATATGGCAATTCTATCTAATTGGATAGATCTACTAAGCAGAGCCAAAAAGGAGCACAAGACGTACCTGTTTGCATTATCCTCTTTGTCCGTCCTAGCTATAGCGTTATATACGTGGATCTCTGGGGCAGACTTCACACGCAGAATTAGAGGGATTATATACGGGTGGCTACTAGCGCTAGGTACTGTTATAGGTAGATTCACCCCTGAAAGGAGATGTGATATCGAAACCTATCTCTTAGAATCCTAGGACTAAGCCGATCAAGCAAGGTCACCCCACGTAAGTGGTCAATCCTTGCCCATTTTTCGTATTTAATCATGAATTGTCTCGTGCTGGTGATTACCTATGAGAAATGAAAGACCGTACCGATCGTAGTGCAACCTCGATTATTGTACATACCCGTGGTAACACTACCCAAGTATAATGTAGGCTTCCGTGCCAATCGATTTTTACTCAAGCCATGTCGCATACGCGTAGACTGAATACACGATCGACAACCGCCCCCCGTATGATTCGATAGTATGGTCATGTGCTGTTATTATACGACATATCATACAGATCTACTCGAATAGATACCTCTGTGAAGTTGTGAAGTTGTGAAGTAGCAAATTAGCAAGCAGCACAGAAGCATCCTTCCTAATCAATACATGGTGTCTTATTACGAGGTATAACGTAGTTACGTAGGTACCTAATTGAGTCGGGTAAACAATTCATTGTGCTCTGGTTGAGTTTAGTTAGCGTTTCCACGATAGCATGGGACGGTGTAAGCCGCGGCTTTCAGCGAAGATGTGTAATGCTTGTAGAATATCATCACAATCAATATCAAAGTGGACACGTATCGGGAATTATCAAACGGTTATTGGATACCCTCTAGAGCACCAGCCGTCCAAGTCAGGTCCAAGCGGTCTGTGTACCAACGAAGATTGCATGGCACTTCATGATGTACAGCTCCCGCCTCCTGCGTACATATCTGATATCAGGGCTGCCAGCGGTAGGATCCAGGATATATCGTATATACAATTTAAGCTCCTAACGGCCGCGCGGTTAGTGCGACGTACGGGGCTAGACAACGAGGCTGTTGCACATAATACAAGTTAATATGAATGCCTGAGATTAAGACCAGCCCGTCGTTACAACTGTGCTGAACTACATATGTTGGACTGTTGATCATGATATATGCTCTTCTAAGTACACGTTACCCCGTCTAATAGGAACCAAGAAAGACGGACTAGTTTGTTCGGAGAGAGAAGTCTGAAACTATATGCAACTTTCTTATATATCCCTATAATGTATGTAGGTAGTCTGATTTATTACATATTGTACACGTCGACGTATCTCGGACTTGGTTGGGCTGAAAAACAAGGATCTTGGACCAACCGGAAATATTTAAATATACCCGGGACTTGATTTGCGGCAATCCATGCAGAAACGTGGAGGATAGGTTGTTAAGTTTTGATGCTACCTTACCTTAGTAGAAAAGAGTCTCCTATTCCAAAACTACCTACTCCTTCTATATGCTTTGTAGGGTAGTAGAAACTAAGATTGCTAACGTCCTCGTAGCTCAAAAATACTTTTGGTGTCTTCTTAGCTATCATTTATCTCGAGCATTACGAATTTCGATTGCCTACAAGGAGATGGAAAAGGCGTGATGATTACCTAGGGTTAGGGATGTACACTAAGTTCTAAGCCAAGGGATAGTCTACGGTTTAGTATCATAATTTAGAGGCTAGGAATATTTCTAGGAATAATAAGTCTTGCTAATGTTTAAAGCAAGTTGTTGTTATATCGAGGGAGCATGTAGGTTTCTAAAGAAGACCTAACCGCAGAGAAAGGAACAAACCTGTCGCAAATCTTCTAACCTAAAGGTTCCACACATTGCCTTAGCTGGATATATATCCCGTCTTCCACTTTGTTTATTGGCCCGCAGACCATATACTAGGTAAATGTTCAAAGTTGAAACGTCATATTAGGGCTTAGCATCACGCAATGCAAAGTGACGAACATAGGCCCATTGGTCTATTAGTCTATCAGTCGATGAGACTTATGGTTTCAGCGAGAGTTGGCTCGACTTGAATGGCAAGCCGCGCATTGCAGGTGGCACCTAGGAAACTAATACACACGATATTTATATGAAGACTAGGTTACCTAGATAGCAGGACAGCCAATAGTTTAGGACCCTAACCGCAATTCTGGCTTGGCCGAGAAATGATCATCACACTAATACATGCCTAACCAGGTAACCCAGATAAGCCAGAGAGCTATCTCTTATTAATGCAATATTCCCCCCACACAATATTTACCTTGGGTATTCATCGTGTGTATCAACTACACGCTATGCAGCATGAGAAGTCTTAACTCAACTCAATATAATAGAACCTCTCGCGTTCTTCATGATGACAAGAGGCCAAGTTTATTATATGTACAACTTAACGAGATCTTACGGCTGCTGATTGGTAACCCATAATTAATAATCGGAGTAACCTTAGATTAGACTTATTGGCTGTTGGCCCCAAGGGTACTCAACAGCAAATAGGTTATTTCTCCTCTCGTCTGCTATTTGTCGATGCTGTTCAAAAAGATGATGTCCTTCCGAGATTTCGAGGCCCTTTTCAATGAGAGGTTTTTTTCTCTCTTTTGATAAGAGCGGAACAGAAAGTTCCAAGATACAATTACGTTCACCGCGTTTCTAATAAAACCCTAGTCGCTACCAGCGAATAGCCTCCTAGGCCAAAGTTGCATTTAGTCCATCCTTGACAGAGATGTGGTTTGGTTCATAAACTTGGTACCCAAACAAAAGCTGGTACAATGATTCGGCAAAATTGGGATACCTTAAATTTTACCTCCTTAAGTTAAATATGCGTCACATGTTGCAATATAACTATACAATATACCTACCTACCTAGGTTACCTATCTCAATATATAAATCCGACTTCATAACCTAACCTAGGAGGTTACGTGCTTATATACGTTTGATAGGTATCTGCATACCCGGGATAAGGTCATACAAGGTACCTAACCTACCCACATCCCACATACACCTTAAATTCTACCTAGGTAGGTACGTGTAGTGTACTTAGGTACAACTTTTAAGTCTTACATACATACACCCGACCCGTGCCACCCGTACGGACAAGCCAATATGGACCCTGTTCCCCCACATTCCTTTCTCTCCTGGTTTTTGGTTCCTTAACCTACACTACATACTACATACTACATACTACATACATGCACTTATCACCGTCGCCGCTTGCCATCGCTCGAATACCTATGTACCAATCCCTACTTGTATGTATTATACCTCCATTACAAACACATAGTGAGGCGTGCTCAACTCATTTCATGTGCTGTATATGCGTGTTGGTCGCACTTATTTTTTAATATATATATATATATATATATATATTAATTCTCTGACTCTTCGTTTCTTCCACTTTGTCCTCTTACACAGTATAAATATATATAAAACCTAAAGCACGTATACATACCTGACCTAGGTATATACCTATATCGTAATACATGCCTTAACATTTTAGTAAGACGCACATTGCTTACCTAGACGTATACATACATCCCATATGGTATATCTCTAAACTCGGGGTTACTCTTCCGGGCGGCTACTGCATCTCAATTTTTTTTTCTCCCAACCCGCGTCGGATACTATATCAAAGCCGGACCTAATAATTCTCTGGATATCTAGGCATTGATCACACCTTGCTAATTCAACAACGACCGCTGTCCTGCAAGGAGTACGTCACCGGCCTTCGGATTTTCAACTGAACATACTATTAACCCGTCCTTCCAGACCCAACCCAGATCAGACCCCAGACCGCATTTCAACGCTAGGGTACTTATGCGTTGGGTAGCTACAGCAATACATGCCTCATCGACTAGTTTCCTGTAAGAAAAATGTCTATTACCCACGGTGTTTGTTCTCATCCTCACCCCCCTGACCTCCGCTCTTCTCAACATTGGGCCTTATCACTGGCTCGTTTTCACGTCACCTGCTCAGTTGACGGATGCAACACATATTATTATGCCTTTCGTACTATTATTATGAAATCTCAAACACTATTCTAATTGCGGCCCAATTGTAGGGTCCTAACAATCTCGTCATCGCCAATTCTTCATCTCAGCTTTCTCAGCCAATATCCGAGCCCAGTTCTCAATAGGTAAGTAATTAAGCATGCCGACCCATAACGTACATGAGTATCCATGAAATCACAAGCGTCCCATCGTCGATCTATACCTCTACTGCTCCTTTTCCCTTGTGAATCTATCTACCCATGTTAATATTGGCAATAGCGGAGCCCGCTACTGGAGTCTCGCCCACCAGATCTCAGCTCGAGTCAGCCTTTCCTCCCTTCTTTATATATTTGTTCTCAGCTCCCGTACTTGAGGTCTAGGGTAGCCTTGTCGTTGAGGCACAGTTTTGTCTTCTACACTGCCGTATGCTTAAACCCCAGTCACCGACACGAGAACAAAGGGCGGGAGGCTATAGTAAAAGCCTAGGTTTGTTATATTAACTACATCTGGAGGCCAATTGACTTCCTTTAAGAACGCTTCGCTCCTCTTACAGTCTCACCGCTGGGTAATCCAACTCTAAAGGTGGTCATCGAAACTTGTTCGTCTAGAATATTGTTTCACGGTTGCGTTATTGCTAGGTTTTGGTAGAGTTGCTGATTGGGTTGCAAGATCCTTCCTAGAGTGACATAGACAACATCTCTAAAAATCGGCAGAAGGTTGCCGCTGCAGATCGGCAAGTGTAGCGAACGACTAAGACTGCGGGCCGATTCGTGGCACTCCAAACGTCGTGTTACGAACGGGCCTCGAAAGGTGATCGTTCTAGACGGTTGCTAAGAAAGGACCTTCTCAGCAGACAGAGCCTTCCCAGACAGAGCGAGGCGAATTCCTCCTACATTAGACTTCTTTCCAATCCTCTGGAAGGACCTGGTCCTTGTCTCAGTCTACGCTAGCGTCTCCACCGAAAGCGATTTGCACAGACGCTACCTTGTCACCCAGTCCTATCTTTCGACGTCTGGATAAAAGTCGTACGCTCATCCACCATCGGCCTAGGTCTCCTTTTCCCGCTCAGATCCCTCGAGCCGGGCGTTACTTAGAACTGTTAGAACTGCTAGAATATCTGGATTTATCCCCCCTGGACTTTGTGTCACAACACCCCCAGTCCTCTCCTAACCGTTTCTAATCATTCGCCATGAGCTCCACAACGTCGCAGGACGCACCTACGTCAGGCGTCGTGATGCGGGACCACCTACGGCAACCAGTCGAGCGTGTCACCGACTGTTTGGAGGTTCCTTCGCTAGACGACCGGAAATACCGTGTTATACGTTTATCTAACCAACTTGAGGCGCTGCTAGTCCATGATCCTGAAACGGACAAGGCCAGCGCCGCATTGGACGTTAATGTCGGCAACTTCAGTGATGAAGATGATATGCCGGGTATGGCACATGCCGTGGAACATGTAGGTCACGTCGGACAGGATCCAATCTAAACCCTAGCTGATAAGATGAACTCTAGCTTCTATTCATGGGTACGAAAAAATATCCGGTAGAGAATGCGTATAACGTATACCTCTCTTCTCACTCGGGGAGCTCGAATGCTTATACCGGAGCCACTTCGACCAATTACTTCTTCGATATTGCCGCGAAGCCGAGTAATGGCGAAGAACCTTCCGAGACAAACCTGTCTCCCCTTTTCGGTGGCCTAGATAGATTTGCTCAGTTCTTCATCGAGCCCCTGTTCCTCCCGTCGACGTTGGATCGTGAGCTACGTGCTGTCGACTCAGAAAATAAGAAGAATCTGCAGAGCGATCAGTGGCGCCTCCACCAGCTAGAGAAGTCTCTATCTAACCCCAAGCATCCTTATTGCCACTTCTCGACCGGTAACTTCGAGGTGCTTAAGACTGAGCCGGAATCTAAAGGCATAGATGTGCGGCAAAAGTTTATAGACTTTCACGAAAAGCACTACTCTGCCAACAGAATGAAGCTTTGCGTCTTGGGCCGAGAACCGCTGGACGTACTTGAGAAATGGGTTGCCGAGTTATTCTCTGGCGTACCAAATAAGAACCTCCCACAGAATCGTTGGGAAACCGAAGTACCGTTCACTAGCGAGCTCCTATCTATGCAATGTTTTGCAAAGCCAGTCATGGATTCCAGAGAGCTTAATCTCTATTTTCCATTCTTGGACGAAGAATATCTTTACGAAACCCAGCCGAGTCGGTATATTAGCCACCTAATTGGCCACGAGGGCCCTGGCAGTATAATGGCGTACCTAAAATCGAAGGGGTGGGCCAATTCGCTCAGCGCTGGTGCATATCAAATATGCCCCGGTACTCCTGGCATTTTCGACTGTCAGATCCGGCTGACAAAAGAGGTAAATAATCCTAGTCATTTGGGAACACGGATTGCTAATGCTCCAATGTAGGGTCTAAAACATTATAGAGAGGTCGTCAAAGTATTCTTCCAGTACATATCACTTCTCAAACAAACACAACCTCAAGAATGGATATTCGACGAGCAGAAGGGCATGGCGGATGTGGACTTCAAATTTAAGCAAAAGACACCAGCTAGTCGCTTCACAAGTAGGATTTGTGCTGTGATGCAAAAGCCGTTGCCCCGAGAGTGGCTACTCAGTGGCCAAAGCCGCCTACGAAAATTCGACCCGGAAGCTATTGTTAAAGGGGTAGAACTATTGAGACCCGATAACTTTAGAATGACCATCGTGTCTCGGGACTTCCCGGGAGGTTGGAATCAGAGGGAGAAGTGGTACGGAACAGAATATAAGGCTGAGAATATCCCCGAGGATTTTCTCGCCGAGATCGCCAAGGCCCTAGATAGTACTTCCGAGGACCGCCTTCCCGCTCTGCATCTCCCACACAAGAACCAATTCATCCCGACAAAGCTTGAGGTGGAGAAGAAAGAAGTTGAGCGGCCAGCTCTAGCGCCTCGAGTGATCCGAGATGATGAAGTGGCGAGAACGTGGTACAAGAAAGATGACACATTCTGGGTCCCGAAAGCGAATTTAATCGTCAGCATCAGGAACCCCACCATATTTGCTTCTGCAGATAACTCAGTCAAGTCGAAGTTGTTCACGGATTTAGTAAGGGACGCACTAGAGGAATACTCATATGATGCCGAGCTTGCTGGGCTGCAGTACAATGTCAGCCTTGATTCTCGAGGGTTGTTCGTCGAGGTATCCGGTTACAATGATAAACTGCCTGTATTACTGGAGCAAGTTCTTATTACTATGCGGGACCTCGAGGTCAAGGACGAACGATTTGAGATCATCAAGGAGAGGCTTACTCGAGGTTACAAGAACTGCGAACTACAACAGCCTTTCACACAGATTGGCGACTACGTGTCCTGGCTTACGTCCGAACACGATTACGTGGTTGAGCAACTAGTCGCCGTGTTGCCCGGAATTACAGCCGAAGACGTAAGACAGTTCTACAAGCAGATCATGTCACAGCTGCATATTGAGGCTTATGTTCACGGAAACGTGTATAAGGAGGATGCCCTCAAGCTAACAGACATGATCGAAAAGATACTAAAGCCCCGAGTCCTACCAAAGGAGGAGTGGCGTATCATTCGGTCATTAGATTTCCCCCCAGGGTCAAACTACGTTTTCAAAAAGACCCTCAAGGACCCGGCGAACGTCAATCACTGCATTGAGTATTATCTCCACATCGGCGATAAAGGAGATCGCCTGATTCGTGCAAAGACGCAACTTCTTGACCAGATCATTCACGAGCCGGCTTTTGATCAGCTACGGACCAAAGAGCAGCTTGGCTATGTTGTCTTCAGTGGCCTTCGAAGTTCTGCTACTACGTATGGGTTCCGCTTTATAATACAGAGCGAGCGCACTACCGAATATTTAGAATCTCGAATCAACTCTTTCCTAGCCACACAGACAAGCTCGCTAGAAAATATGAGCGATACGGACTTTGAAAGTCACAAGAGGAGCGTGATAATTAAGCGTCTTGAGAAGTTAAAGAATCTGGATCAGGAGACTGGTCGTCACTGGACGCACATAAGCAATGAATATTATGACTTTGAATCAGGTATGGTGTCATCATTATTCCCTCATACGTCATCATAAACAACTAACAGCATGTGTACAGCCCAACGAGATGCAGCCCAAGTTAAGGAGCTTACAAAGTCAGAGATGATAGAGTTCTACTCAACCTATATCCAGCCCACATCACCAACCAGGGCAAAATTAGTCGTACAGCTCATCGCTCAGGGTGTTAGCCCCGAAGCGAAGGAAGTCGAGGAGTCGACAAACGGAGACACAGCTACGCTTTGGTCAAATGGTACAGAGCCAGTCTTGATACGAAATGTGCGGGACTTCAAAGCAGGACTTTCAGTGACTCCAGGAGCTCGTCCGGTTAGGGACATCAGAGACTTTGAGGAAATAGATTCCAAGCTTTGAGACGAAATTTTGCGAGGAAGCGTTTGGTAGAAATTAGAACGCAAAGTGCTATACCCATCTGTTTGCATAGTACATTTACAGCATATTTGGTTCCTGGCCTGGAAAGGCTAGTACGATACATTTCAAAGTGAAATGAAATCGCGTGAGTACCTAGGATATATGATGTGTTTCTTGGACTTTCTCTAGAAATTACCTAGCGGGGAATGTCTTGTTGTTGGTTTCTAGTCTGCGTGCCGTCGGACCGAGAAGAAGAAGAAAGAACTTGAGACCTGGGGGGCAATTCCATAGAAGTAGACGCATAAAACTAGAGACGGTGGCTGCTTAGAGGAGAGTCCTTAAAATACATAGGTACATGATGACTCATGTAAACAGGTAGGTGGGCTTTGAAAAGACTCGACATGGAGTTAGGTACATTCAATAGGTATGTCCGCATGTCCATATAGGTTCAGGTTAGGTAAGCTACAAATGGCGGGTATTTACTTGTGATGATGCACGTAGCCACCTGCAACCTTTAAACGAGAAATAGGGTTATTCAGATAAGCTTTTAAAAAAAGAAGTTGTTCAAGGTTATTTTAGGTACTTTAGTTCAGTACGTGACTAAGACAATGTGCCTAGAAATACGGTGTATATAGTCCGTTTAGTCCGTTTAGTCCGTTTAGTCCGTTTAGTCTGTTTAGTCTGTTTAGTCTGTTTATTCTGTTACTTGGGAGGTGCCTAGCTCTTGCCCTGTACAAAAGAACAAAATATCAGTACACTTTCCAATTTAGGTACCTTCTAATCTTAGGTAGTTGTTAATATTAGTGTTGAGTTAAGGTCAATTGTCAGTTGGTCTTTACGTCGGTAACAATAACCTATTTTGTGTTGTACAAGCCCTTTCCCCTCCATGCTGTTCTAAAATAACATAACTAACTACATCATACATAAATTCATACGACGCAACGCTCCACATCTGCCCTTGTTTCTTGGATTTATTCCGATTTTGGTATAATCGTTTTGGATCGGACAACACACGCTTGGCGTTTGATCATACACGGGTTTCTAAATTCACCTGTCACAATAACCACAGGAATAGGCATCTGTGTTTAGTGGCTTTTTGACTACCTACCTATACCTAACCTAACCTACATGTAACACGACACATGGAAAGGTAAATGTACCCGGGTAGCTAGAGTTTGCCAATTGGAACTAGTGGCAGGTCCAGTCCAGGACGTGTAAATCTGTGCCCTTTGTACCCGCTGTGCTGATAAAGAAAGTATTGTACCTACCTAGGTACCTACCTTACCTTTGGAGTGTAACCGTAGCTGCTGCCTTCCATTGGAACAATTTTTTCTAAGGCGAATCCCAAAGTATCTGATGCCAATCAGCAAAGCGCCCACAGAGAACTGACCGCTGTTGCGCACTGCGCACTGCTCACTACACGCTGCACACTGCACACTCCAGCACAACGACGCAACATAATTTGCGTGCATCATCAATTCGAGGCAAAGGAATTTCGCCTTCCTTTTTCCCTTCTCCCAACAAGAAATAGAATATTCTGGTAGTTGACTTATTGGACCAAATCAAAAGTCAACCAATCCTAACCTTAACGTATACAGAATCAGAATTCAGAATTCAGACTTCAGGACTTGTCTGACAAGCAAATATTAGACATCATTGTCAGAAGTACTAGATTGTCTGCCCGGAAACTCAGATTTTCCTTATTAAAAGTGCATGACCGACCAATGAGCACACACCTCTCCCGTCAGGCGAACAATCATTTAGTGTCTTTGTGTAAGATTCCTCCTACACATTCATACGATCTCTTGCTCATAAGCGCAACCTTTTACCACCATATTACCACTGATTCTCCCGTTCTCCCAGAGCTGCTCAAGGCAGCTCGCCGCCAAGACGTCTTCCTCAAAGAAACGGAAGATTACAAACCGCCAATCCACTTCTAAAGACGAGAGCTTAGACAGTAGCAATTCCTCGGACACACCTTTACCATCCTGTGAATTAGACGCCGATCCGAACTATTCATTCTACTCTTCTTCCTTCGACAACTTGACCGCCAACTCCCGTCGAGCTAACTCTGTCCCTCCGGCATCAAGTCTCCCCCCTCGATTACAAACCAATACCAGCTCCCTTAGCTACGCCGAATACGCCTCATCCGCCGCGAGCTCTCCCTCTGGTGCCTGCGCTGCACTAACAATCGATAGCGACTGTGGTCCCGACAACCCAACGCTCGAACTTAGCTCCGCCTCTTCTAATATATATTCTGGAAGAGGCAGCTCACCGTTTACCAAAATCACTTACCATCGTGCAGTCATGGGCGGTGCCGCCGAATTCCCAGATAGAGCCTCCTCCCCGTTGAAACGACGCGCTTCCAGTATGGAACCTGATATTGCAGATATTGCAGACCAAGATGCAACTGAAGATGTCGATATGATTGCAGCGCCACCATCCGATGCTCCGGACACATCTAAATCCGAACAACCTAACGGTCATATTGCTAACGGTCATATTGCAACCGATGCAGGTCCCCCAGTAAATGGCCATGCCGATGCGACGGCTGAGGAAAGTGTTGAGCCGATGGACATATCACCATGTGGGTCGAGTACAAGCAGAATTAGGCGGCATAGGCTAATTTCACAATTTCAAGCACGTCAACCACCAGAATCTATAGAGGCCCATGTGAAAGCCATCAGAGTGTTTGTGGAAGAGCAAAATACACGCCCACTTACAGAAGGCCAGGAGTGTTTCTTAGTCTCAAAATTGTGGCTAGCTAACGTGCCGGACGATTTATCACCAAAACATACCATCGAGGACTGGGCTTCGATACCACCAGTAGATAACTCGGATATCATTCAAGAGGTTATAGATGATCCTTGTGTCGGTAGTGGCGTGGTAGATGTTCTAAAGAAAAAGTTCGTTCGGTTGAAGCCGGGTTACGATTCGGAACAATTTGAACCTCTCCCTAAGGATGCCTGGGATCTTCTTATTAAATGGCCCGGGTTGAAAGAGGGCCAAATACCTATTCTCCGTTTGGCACATGCTACAACAGACGATGGCAAAAATGTTATGTGGGAGTGGCATCCGCCTGTACTCGCGGTATATCGACTCTGGTCTGCCAATAGCGAGTTGCCGACCGAAGCAACCATAAAGGCCACGAACCCGCCACCTTCAAGACTTGCACGTAGTCGCTCAACAAATTTCCAGACTTTCTTGAAACAGGCAAAAAGAGTGACGGGAATAGATTTATCACAAAGAGTTCGAGCTTGGAGCGTTTTGCAGCCACCTATTGGCCAAACACCAGGTAATGCAGTGCCCACTCTCTTCGCTTCTCAAGATGATACGAAACCTAACACTTCCCAAGCCTGGAACCATCTTCTCTTGGACGTCGAATCGTTTCTAGCCCTCGAGAGAAAGTCAGAAAGAGAGCTCGTCGATTTCGCTGATCGAACAGATCAGCCAAATCAGAAATCCGTCAAAACGCTAGGCCACTTCAGTATTGCGCAGGATCAAGCCATTGTCTTAGACCCTCATGAAAGCGGTTCTACTTGGACTTCGACCCTAACGTCTTCTCAAGCACGAACATCGCTACCATCTAGAAATAGCTCTACCAATCTAACCGTACAAAGCCGGAACGCTAGAAGCGGACGCACTAGTCCAGTATCTCAGGGATATCTCACACGTGGTAGAGCAAAGTCTGGTAAGGTCCCCGGGTGCGTGGGATTAGCAAACTTAGGTAACACATGTTACATGAACGCGGCCCTTCAGTGCGTCAGGAGCGTCGAGGAATTGACTAAGTATTTCCTCTCGGGAGAGTGGGAATTAGAACTCAATAAGGAAAATGTCCTCTCTCACAATGGCGACGTGGCTGCTGCCTATGCCCACTTACTGAAGGAATTTTATAAAGACTCGTCGCCGGGTTCCGTCTCGCCCCGTCAATTTAAAACCACAATCGGTCGATATTCTACGGGATTTTCGGGTTATGGTCAGCAAGACTCACAGGAGTTTCTTGGATTTTTGCTGGATGGGTTGCAAGAAGATCTTAGTCGGATCAAGAAGAAGCCTTATATCGAGAAGCCGGACTCGACCGATGAAATGGTTAATGACCCTGCCGCAATCCGAGAGATGGCAGCTAAAGTATGGGACATTACCAAGAAACGTGATGACTCCGTCATAGGCGATTTATTCACTGGCTTATACAAATCGACACTCGTTTGCCCGGAATGTCGGAAGGTTAGCATCACATTTGACCCGTTCAATAATCTAACCCTACCTCTGCCTGTGGAAAATAAATGGAGTCATACCGTCAAGTTCTTCCCCCTAAATGATCGGCCAGTCGACATCAGAGTCGAGCTTGATAAGCATGCCAGCATCAAATCTCTAAAGGAGTTCCTGTCTACCAAAACCGGCGTGCCGGCGGAACGCTTGTTTGGCGCGGAAGAATGGAAAGGGAGGTTCTATAAGTATTATACTGATGTCTCCTGCGCCTCGGAAGAGATTACACACAACGACAATGCTTGGTTCTTCGAGCTGGAGGCTAAGCCTACAAACTACGGGGCTAAACCGCATAAACAGCAGAAGTACGGAGTAGCAGTCAGATCCATGGTCGATGAGGAGGAGCACAATGCCTCGGCCTCGTGGAACGACGAGCAAGCTGAGAGATTGCTTGTTCCCGTCTTCCACCGGCGTCCAGCGACTTCAAAATCCAGTTTTCACCAGGGTAGATGGGTACAGGCCTGCGCCCCTCATTTTGTTATTATCACGCCCGACGAAGCTAAGAGCGAGGATGCTATTCGCCGCAAAGTCCTAGAAAAGGTTGCAACGTTAACAAAACATCCTTTATCTACACGTGGGGAGGATTCGGAGGGGTCCGATAACACTGATATCGACATTATAGGGATGAGCTCTGACACAGGTTCTAATGAAGGTAGGGTCGTTGCCCAATCCGTTAAGAGTGAGGATGACATGGTTGACGTACAGATGAAAGATGGCGAAGTCCGAAGGTATGTGAAATAGTTCTTTGGTAAGGTTAAAAAACACTGCTAACTCCTTTTCAGCAACCCTTCGGGCAAGCAATTCTGTCGCAAGAAGCCAGCTTGGATGGTACCGGGGTCGTTCCTCACTTCCATTCTTCAGAATATGTTTGATATCTGCTATTACTCGGAATCGGGAGCATGGTTACCGACTGGCATGAGCGGCATCAATGATGACAGGCAATATCCAAAGCTCTCGACCAGAGTTCTACCCGAGTGTTCATCGGAAGACCAGTTCGATAATGCAACTAACGGCACGGCCTCTAATGAAGAGTCCAGTTCAGACGAAGCGCCGCGACGAAGTACTGATCAGTCCTACACACGCATGCAAGACGAAAGCGATGACGAGGATGCTAGCCCGATCATTAAGGTATGCTCCAACCAACCCCAAAGGGGCGGCCTAAACTTTCAGTCTACAAAAAGATATCGTCCCAATTCAGTACTGACATATACCCAGCCGAATCACCACCGCTCTAAGCAGAACGGACGGGCTAAAGGCAAAAACAAGCAACAGAAGCAACATAAGACGTTCAAGAACCACAGCAAGAGTGTTAAGAAGAAGCTACGTCAGCAACAACGCCAATCAAAGGAGAAGCATCACAGCATAGAACTGGAAGAATCATTTAATATGAGCGAATCTGGTCCCGATGGAGGTCCCTTAATCCGCCTCAGAGAAGCTCTCATTATCGACTGGTCTGACGAGGCTTACGATCGCAACTTTACTGATAGTAGCACACCAGCCAATGACAACTCGCTCGCAACATGGATTTCCTGTGAGACTCTGCCCGACCCCGAGCTAGACAAAGCCCAAGCAGCTCGGACTAGGAGTCGTAAGAACGGTATCTCTCTTGAGGCATGTCTCGACGAGTTTGAGCGAGAAGAAATCCTCTCTGAACAGGATATGTGGTACTGCCCTCGCTGCAAGGAACACAGGCGTGCTAGCAAGAAATTTGACCTATGGAAGACTCCAGACATTCTCGTCATTCATTTGAAGAGATTTAGTTCTAGTGGTTTCAGAAGAGACAAATTAGAAGTTTTGGTCGATTTCCCTCTTGAGAATCTAGACATAACTTCTCGTGTTCTCCAAAAGGAAGATGGTAAACAGGAAGTTTACGATCTGATCGGAGTAGACTGCCACTGGGGCGGCCTAGGAGGCGGTCACTACACTGCTCATGCGAAGAACTTCGTGGACGGCCACTGGTACACGTATAATGGTATGTATTGCCCAACTGGTTTCTGTTGTATAATTGCTAAACTTTCTAGATTCGTCGGTATCGCGAGCGTCTCCTGATAGAATTGTCGACTCATCTGCGTATTTGCTGTTCTATCGTCGACGATCTGAGATCCCCCTTGGTGGGCCTCGCTTCCAGCAAATCTTGGATAGGTTCCAAGGTGATGGTTCCGACAGCGAACTCCCTGATTCGGGGGAAGATCAGCGTCTCGGCGAAGGCTTCTCCCAGACTGGGTCGTCGAGCGCGTTACAAGGAGCAGGAGCTACTCACCTGCGCGGAAGCACTGGTGGTAAATCGACAAATGGCTTTATCGTGAATAACACAAATAGTAGCTGGGACATTAAGACCATCGACGATGTCCTCGAGCATCCCTCCGAAGATGTCCACCGAAGCATCGAAGAGGATGAGGGCATAGACCTAACCGAAGATACAGTACAACCAGCAGGTTTCCAACCGCTCACAAATGGTAATTCTTGGAGCTTTGACAACCTTGCGCCTAACGATATCGCGGATATTGAAAACCCCCCCTCGGAAAGTCCCCTTGACTCGGATGCGGCCTCGGATGCAGCACAACACGATTCATCTGGTGATGAACGGGTGCTTAGTCCCCGTGAGATGGATTTCGAGCCAGACCACGAGCCAGAATATCCGGGGATGTCGCATTATGAGCTGTCGCAACCCGAGACCAATCTGCCCTCGTATAGTGATATTCCACCCCCCGACTACCGAGGTGAAATGACCCAAGACGATATGCACCAGATTTGGGATCAGAAGAACACGATCCACAAAGTTGCACCCGAGGGTGAGAATGATGCGGGTTCCGAAGATGCAGCGGAAATCCACATTGGTGAAGACGAAAAGATTAAGCTCACCTAGTTAGACGGCATTGATTATTGGTGTCTGAACAGGGCACTACGCCAACGAAGCCAAGAGTCTTCCAAGTGAAGATCTTTGCCCTAATACATGAATAGGGAAAGGGAAACCCTTGATACCTAGAGTACATTAGCCAGTGAGCAATGGCTTACTGGCAATTCACGAAGGTCATGACGGAATACGCGTCTATGCGATCACGGCATAGCATGGAGCATTCAAGATAGAACTGCCATAGTTTCCTATAATGGAAACAATATAGCATACATACATAGTATTCCTCTTATCGGATATGGCCAGCACGCATTACGATAATTACGGAATGACAGCTGGTCTCATAGGAGAGCCAAGAGGGCGCCTGAGGGGCTCGCGGAGCATGCCCTGTCAAGTATTTTTGCCAGGTTAGCAGGTTAGAGGGCTCCGAGGGCGAAAATAACATGGCATGGGTCTACCGCTTTCACGGAGTTAATAGACTGACTGTCTTTGTCTCGCATTGAAGCGGCGTTTGTTGTCGGTTCATTGTGTGAGTTGCTAGTGCCATGGTAAAGAGAGAGTCTCTAACGAAGCGTCAATCCTTGTATATATGTTTATGAATAAATATGATGCTTTGCTTCTATGAGACTTCTATGAGACTTGGAAGGATGAAGTAACTGTGCATTCTTGTTAGCCAGCGGGATCGAGATGACTGAGAAGCGTAGGTGCGCCGAGTAGATTAATCAATATCCGTCTACCTGGGTACCTACCCAAGACAGCGAGATTTTCTGCTCTCGTCCTAGGTTATGGCTTCAAAAGCGGCAAAAGGATATTATAAAACCAGGGCGTAATAGAGCTCATTACCGCTATTGTGCTCGAGTTATACAATGTAGATACGAACAAACAGATCAAATAGAGACAATATGAAGCCTTCAACAAAAAGAGCTGCGGCGTTTTATGGTTAGTAGCCTTGTGTTCGCCATGACGCCTAATGAGTAGGTTCGTTACAGGGCATAGCCTTCGACAAATAAACTAAAGGGCTTACCTCGAAGCGAAGGAACTATCCTTCCGGGCAAGATCTTTGAAGTGAAAGATGTCTTAAAAACCGAAGGTGTAAAATCGTAATGAGGGATTATGACTTGAATTCAGCAGACCTGGAATAAATACTACATAGGTAGCCACCACTGCTAAAGACGTTTAAATTAGAAGAAAATTAATATTGTATAACTATCAAATTTTAAAAACGTTGAAGTGAACATCCTTGAAGCCGAAAGCTGTGGTTAAAATAAATATCCCATTCCAAGATTTTCATGACCACTTCAAGAGCATGCCACAGGCTACATTAGTTGCCCATATTCAACCTCTGGCACCCGAAATTCTACGTCGTACAGGACCTCACCTTAAGGAACCAATAGGAACGGTTAGAGCCTCAATATGATGTATACGTACCATATAGGGTGCAGAAGAGCTGTGCTGGTTATCCAGGCGCCTGTCCGGATTACGAGTTGCCTTGTACCGTGGTATGATTCGCGGCGTGGGCAAATGCGGTTGCCTAAGAGGCTTTCTTATGTATATTATGAGTACAGCTCCAAGTTGATTGTTTATTGTATTTATATATGATTGCAAGATATTATTTATATACGGGCCACGGCTATTTCGTTTCTTATTATAGCTGATTTCTAGCCTCATGTGATCTGTTGGTATGGGTACCTCGTGTGACAATTTTACAGACGGTCATGATGGCTTGTGTTCACATAAAGGGTATAAACTTAGGCTTAGGCAGCACGACTGCGTCCCTGCGTATGGTGATCGGCGTTTAGTGAGACGACTATGTCCCAACCTGTGCCTAGGCCGGCTGTGAATTTTGTTGGCGCAGGACGCAACGGCTTCTCCAGTACCTAGTGCAAAGTATGTCCCACAGACTTTACTACGAATTGGCAGCACGATGATGGAGATAAAGGAACATAAGTTTCTGTAGGTCCTTGCTGTGGTAATCGCATATGTCCCCTTCTCAGCTAGCCCGGCCCGCGCGACCCCCTTTAGGACTGTACGGGACGTGAGGTGCCACGATGGTTTTGGTGGAAGCCTAAAATTAGGCCAGGCTTAAAATGGGGAGACAAGGTAGACTATGGTAAGCGTTGAAGTTTCGCATGAATAGATTGTCGCAATTTGGAGTACTTGTCTGTGTATTTAGAGGCTTGCTCAGTTCGGACGTTCATAGATGAGCGATAAACCTGGAAAGCTTTGGCAAATTGAGCTCTTGATTTGTTGTCAGTAGTTTTTTTCAAGTACAGATCGTTCGAGAATAGAATCTCACGACCGGTAGTTTCTACTGCTACTTTGGTCGAACGTTCGGCATCTGCGCTTGTTCTTCAAAGACGCTCATCCTAGGGACACGTCGGATCAGCTGGGAACTTTCAATCCCAGATAGCACATCGAGAGGCTACACGATACTCAATGAGCCACAGTTAAAACAATGGGGAGCATTCAAACCAAAAACCATAGACTTGTCCCCGGCCTGCATCGGTCTTATGTCTTGTTTAAGGCTCCTTCTCAGTTGTGATTGTCGATCATAGTCGCGGGACTAGGAATACGACTCTAATCGCACGATGCCTATTCATCTATCGGCGCGCCGAGCTGAGACAAATATAGAAACCGCGTTGACGGGCGAAGCAATGCAGGAAATTTGGTAGAAGATGACGACAACCTGCCGTACCGGGCAGAAGCCTTGCTAACGTCGGGAATATTCTTGGCTGCGGCGGACTCGAGCCAAGTTAAATCAGGACAGAGCGAGGCGGCAACCGAACCAGGCAACCGAACCAGGTGCGGCATATCCCGTATAAATTGGAACGTGTATATGTGTTGTGAGATCGCAATGCTATGATACTTTACAATCATTCGCAGCAGTCAGAAGCTTCTATTACTTCCCGAGCTAGCGTCATCAAAGGCTCGGTAAAAAAGATACCTTTTTAATGTAACCCCGGATGAGCCGCGGAGATTTCGGCGATCCGAGAGTAAGTTTTATATCTCACGAGCCTGGATGGCAAATAATGAAAACAGATCATAGTAAGGCTGGCTGTTGACGGCTGACCCGAATAGGGGCAGTGAAGAGTTCCAAGAATATAATTGACGTCAATTGAACTGCCATTGGTGAAACAATTAGACGTAGGCGCCGCGTCTCGAGATATTTTATGAGGCTGAGCACCTGGGAATACGCTTCTCGGAGGGACCCTGCAGTTTTAGTATAGTTATGATGATAAATGATGATAGATAAGAGTAGGATAATGACAGGGTAAGGGTAAGCTGTACAATACATAGATGTAGATCTTATTGTATTATAAGACGAAGGCTAACTTGGACTGAGATAGGCCAGGCTTGGATCTGCTTAGCCTTGTTGGTTCGTCAATCGCACGTTGCTTCCGTAAATCCGGTCGCGGCGCCCGACTAGATATAGAAGGTAGCTGGGTAGCTGAGTAGCCAAAAAGGGCCAAAGGGGACATGGCGTAGGTATTAAGATAAGATCGTATGCGATCTGGAGTCGCGCGAACGAACATGAGCCGAGGCAGGCAAGTTGAAAAGGTAGAACTACGTTATATATACGTTATATACATATAACTATGTGCATCTTCAAGTGTTTTAAGGTTGGTTTAGGGCTCTTACATTGAAACCAAGCAGACGGATGTGGGGGCCGTGCAATGCCGCACGCAGTAGGGCAATGGGCGACGGGTGATGGAAAACAGATCCGAGACCTCGATTTGTGGTGTTTTGCCTGTGTGGGGCTTGGTGCAAAACCAACAGGCGCTTGCCGTTACAGAGGATGCTACTGTAAGGGGAAGGTCACCAAAAGGAAGCGGCGAAGTTGCTGTTTGGGGGTTACACAGCCGGAAGTAACTATTAGTAATACCGTAAAAAGGCATACAGAGACATTAGAAAGGGCAGGGATTCGGTATTGTTAATTCAGGGACCGAGAGGAGGACATGGGAAGACATGCGGTTAAAAGCTTGAATACGTAAAACGATGTACGACTTTTGTCACCTTTATCATCGGCGATAATAAAGGTACATTTAGATACTTCCCAAGAACTTTAGCATCAACTCTGGAGGATTTGCGACTTGAGACCAAACACTTACATACATCATCCAGGTCATCCACTTACACCCACTTAGGTACATATCTAAGTTAGGTAGTGATGCACTTATTTATTTGTAAGTGATTATCAGGATTAGTAGTATACCACTCGAATAATATAACATACGTTGCCTGTAAATATGAAATATGTTGTAAATGGAGGCGCATTTATTTCAACTGCCAATTTGCATCTGAAAGGTTGTAAAATGGCGAATGACATTTGACATTTATCTCCGAAATGCGTTCCTATAAGCTTGAGCATTATCACTGACTTGTTTTTCGATAGTTCCTCTGCATATAACCGCATACGATTTTTACGTGGCAATAGACGCGATAGGCAAGGAATATACACCGTACGCACTGACGACAATACATATGTTACGCATGCTTTTCCGTAACCAAATAATACAACATAGGATCAAAAACTATGTAATCATTAGCAAGTCGCTTCGTTGGCAACCTCGCTGCTGTAGATAAACACAAGCAAAAATGACAAGTCACTTACTCCTAGCCTTACTTATTCCTAAGGCGTTCATCATCTCAGATGCCCAAACTTACCTAATGCCCTGCATACATACGAACATAGAAGAGGCGAATCTGGATAGAACCAGAATTAGAAACGAACTTTGGCCACATGAAGAGCCGTGTGAACCATGTGGCCATCGTCTGCTCTTCTATTGTATGATTACATATGGGGAATAAGAAATCTCTTGCTATGACATAACCGCTCTACTGCTTCAACGGCTACAATTAAATATAATTAAATATGTATTGGGTACCTATACCTAGGTAGATAGAGTTAATTAAGAGGATGATTGGATTCGTTTATGCTGAATGGATTATGAATACGTGTTGGTAATGAATTGTTATCGCGTGTCGGAAGCCCAAGCAGCCAAAATAGCCAAAGGTAATCCCAAAGGTAATCTGAGCGGAATCAATGGATCTTCAATGGTTGCGAGGGTTGCGAGCTGCATGAGTTGATGAATGATCGTCGAAAGGCGAACAAGCTAAAAAGGTAAAAAGTGCGTGTTGTGTAACTGCATACGTACTGTACGGGTCTAGTGTTGGGCATCTTATTGGCTTGGTTAATCCACCTCTCCCGCTTTCCCCACTTTTCCTCTTTTTCCTTTAGATTTCCAAGGCCGTTCGCTACAGGCTTCTATCAGGCTTCTGGAAGGCTTCGAAGCTGGCTAGAAGCACCTAAAAAGGCCGCCAAGGCTCCTCGTGGTTGCCCGGTCAGACAGGGGTTTCCCGGACCATGCGCAGGGAATATCACTGTTTCAGCCAGTCATATTCTATCACTCGCTGAAGCTTGATGCTTTATGGTGGGTTATGCTTACGATGCACACGCAGGGAACCAAAGACGTAAGCAGACCTGAGTCGGTTCCTTTCGACCACAGCTTCTAGACGGCAGCCCCGAAACTCCATCGCGATGTGGGCACTTTTACATTCATCACTTCCACTATCAATTTCGCCATGTCCTTACTATTGGCTACGATAATGGTAATTATTAACATACCGTATTCCTCTTGTTGTGGCTACCAAGGTACAGTACGGATTGCCTAGCCGCCGATATTCAATCAGCCGCACGGGGCAGATATACATCAGTAGGTTAGTGAGCGAGTGTATGTGTAGGTATATTGTGTATTGGAAAAAGTAGCGCCTAATCATAAGATGTGCGCAGGACGTAATTTGTACATGTGTGTACATGGCTCTTAAGAGGGCAGGTCGAAGGAAGTATCTGCTGTGGTATGAGGGGTACGATTTGCATTAGCGATACCTACATGTACGAATAGGTAGGTATGTAACCTAGGTATGTACATAGGTATGCATCGCCTACCTATAGTTTATCATTCTATCTGCGTGTTACAACACCTATAATTGAACCTCGGAGTTGCTTTTTGGAAGCCTACCTAGGTACGTTATATACTCTATAATGTCTCGAGTTCTTCCATGACAGACACTGACATAGCAGCTATCCACAGCGACTGACTTAAACATCGGGCAGATCGGGTTAACCTGGGTACCACGTTATTATACCAACCACCCTAATGGCCCCATTTATTGCACTACGATCCTAGGTACACGTACCGCTGGATTTCTAGCACATGCAGTTAGTGCCCACGTACCTACATCTGTACATGTATGTACTGTATGTACTAAGTACACACATGTACCCAACACGCGGTGGGCCTTGGGATTCCAAGCAAGCAGCTTCCACTGCCGTCGCACTAAAAATGACACCCGATTAATCGCAGAACTTCACTTGTTACCCTTTCCTTTTCTTTCCTTCTATTGTACGATCCACATTGGGGGAAGAACTCTAGTTTTACACCCTTTTCAATTCCCATCTCTTGGTCTTCTGGTCATTGCTTGTTACCTTGATTACCTCGAAATACCTAACGCCCTCCCCTGCTTTTACTTTTTGTCAAAACGTCACGTACAACACCTGCCTGTATACTATTTCCTTGTCGTCTCCTCATCAACAACATCTGTGTTGCCCAGTCTCCCGGCTTCATTACTAGACCAATTTCGAAACACCTATGTCCAAGTTGACAGGTATTGAGTATTTTTGACCTAAACACCGCGTCCAACCCTTCCCACGGCGTAAAGAAATAAAACCAAAAGCAAAAAGAAGAAGAAAAACCAGAAAAAAAACACCACTATACACGTTAGAGACTTAGGTCGCAGACGTTGCGAAACGCATTATCGTTCCTGCTAAGAGTGTAACGTCGCTCCCTTCAGACGAACTCGCAGTAGGGTGTGAGGCGCGACCACCTTTTCTTTCATCTTTTCGGCTCTATCTACACGTTTTCGACCATAGAACACACATATGTGCGCCCTCGCTTGTCCCGAGTCCTATGTTACTAATCCGTTCCACCCTTTCTCGACATCTCCCTTCGATTCCCCATAACCAATAACTATATCGCACCCGAGCTGATCGTATGCGCCCTTCGTCTTCCGGACCTTTTAGATGGTTCCTTCTGAGGTGTGACTTAATTTGAGTGGCTAGCCTATCGAGGAATCCTCGAGTCTCGAGTACGACCTTCGCGCGTCAACTATCAACGTTCCCGTCGCACTTACGATATACTAAAATAGCTGTGGGCTAAGACATTTTTCATCTTTCATTGCCGACTCAATTGATTACTTCTCACCATATAATTGCTCGCTTTCATAGCTAGTTTCAGTTGCGACAACAATTGCGACGACAGGTTACCCTGGCGGAAGTGCTCCGGTCTCTAGACTGGATGCCATAGTCCGCCGTGATGGATAGCGCAACTTGTAATGTGATTTACGTGGATCGTAATGTACTCCAAGATCGATCACTAGGCTCTGAGAGCTCGGGGCTGCCGGAATCTGGCGAGCTTGGTGATAATTTGGGACTCTTACTAGATGCCTTCGGTGATGGTCAGTTCTCGATATAAGCTTCTACTCTAAGCAAGCAACTAACATATGTCGCAGTACACGTATGTGCAAGCGGTCCTGCTTGTATATCTAAGCTGTTTCACTTGCAAGATACGTCCATGGTAGGGCTTAAACCGACTCTTGTACTAATCGACACGCCGTACGACGAGCAAGTGTCAGAGCCGTTACCGCCCGAACGAGATCATTCGCCTTTCTCTGAGGCCTCGCAGGACGGCCACTTGGAAGAAGAGCTGTATGGATTAAGACTGCTGGAGCGGATTGTTTACGAGACTCATCTGAGAAGCCTCTCAAGATTAGTTGTGCCCATTCCCGTCATCAGCTTTCCTCTACTACGAACCCCGCCAGCGAATGACGGTACGAACGATGACCCTCCACAGCCAGCTTATGCAGATTACCTTTCAGAAATGCCAGGCGCGACTGGCAGATCATTAACAAACCGCGCCCTATTAAGAAAGTGCCTGGACTCTGGTGCGGTAGATGTAATGGCCAGCCCTTTACATATTAAAACATTAACATCTCTCGAAGTTCATGCGTACCGTGCGCACAAAGAAGCTGCTAGGGAACAGCAGGCAGCGATGGAGGTTCGGAGGGGTCGTAAACGGTCATGGGTAGGTGTGCACGAGGAGCAGCCTTACTCGTACCTTAGAGAGGCTATGGTATCTGGGTTAATGAGAGGGATTTGCCATTCTGGTGAAGAGGCTGAAGATCGCATTGGAAATGTCAAGGTTAATGTTCCATCCGACCGCCGGTCTCAAATCGCCAGGGCTATTGGGAGGTGGCATTTTTCTGCCCACGATTTCTGTGACGATTCTCTCCTCATGGCGGCCATCCTCATGTTTAAGCATGCCTTTTCCATGCCGGAACTCGAAAAATGGCGAATACCAACAGGTAAATGACTTACCCATTATACTCGCTGCGCTGTGACTGCTAACCCCTCCTCGAATATAGAGCAGTTAACAACTTTTCTGGTTGCAACACGAGCTGCTTACAATACTTTCGTACCGTATCACAACTTTCGCCACGCTGTTGATGTTCTCCAGGCTACATTTAATTTCCTTGTTCACATCGGAGCCTTGCCGCCATATCCCTTCCGCCCTAGATCGTCCGCTGGGTCAATCAAAACGTGTCCACTCGTTACTCTAATCAGGCCTTTTGAGGCTTTAACCCTTCTCATAGGGGCGATCGGTCATGACGTCGGTCATCCTGGTGTAAATAACGGCTTCTTAACTGTACTCAATGCGCCCCTGGCACAATTGTACAATGACCGGTCTGTTCTCGAGTCCTTTCACTGCGCAGCCTATTCACAAATCCTCCGGAGGTACTGGCCAAAGGTCTTTGAAGATACGAAAATGCGCACTCTTATGATCAGCTCAATTCTAGCAACAGATATGGGCGTGCACTTCGATTACATGACCAAGCTTGAAAACCTTGAAAAGGAACTGAAAAAGGAGCCAATTGAGAATTGGAGCGGGAAAACGATAGACAAACAGACAACGCTTATATGCTGCCTAATTATAAAATGCGCCGACATCAGTAATGTTGTACGTGTTATGTTTGTCTCTTGTATGAAATTGCATAGCAGCTAATGACATTGCTAGGCACGAAAATACGAGGCAGCACTCCAATGGATGTATATCCTCTGCGACGAATTCTCTAGGCAAGCAACGATGGAAAGTGATATTGGTATTCAATCTTCGCTCATCTCGCGTCCTAAGAAGGATTTTCTGTCGCTAGCTCAGGCTCAAATAAAATTCATGGAAATATTCGCCATTCCTCTATTTCAAGGGATCGCTGATGTGCTGCCTACGATGCAGTATACTGTTGACGAGCTCGAAACAAACAGGGCATTATTTGAGAAAACCGTACAAGAGATTCCGCTAATGGAAGAAGAGCATCGAAGAATATTTACAGAAGGTGTCCTTTCACCCCGTGCTTTAGGCTTGGCTATTCAGGCAGAAGGTGTCGAAAATTTCCGAATAGACCCGACAAAGTGCCATTTGGTCTCAGGCCATGCTGAAATGAAGACAGCAGGCTCGTCACCGCCCGATCAGCCATATCAGACTCCCGATATCCGAAGAGGATATAAAGAAATAAACGGCATTCCGTTCGATACCGACCCATTCAGCATTGCCGACCCAGAAAATAGAGTTGGCCATAATGGGAAACAGCGTTGTAGTGAGACGACAGACGGGAGCAATTCGGTACCTCCAGGGGACTGGCAGTCGCAAGCTACTAGTGCTACTACCGGTAAGATGCCACTCTCGCCAAGTACTCAAGGTACTAGCATCGTCAGTCAAGAGTCCCTCGAGCGCCCTGGCAGCGTTCCCGCTACAAAAGTCATGGCACCTGATTACCGCACGATGGGACCTATGCAGAGTCTTGAGTCGGGCAATTCCGAGGAGGATTCTAATGGAAATACACTCAAACCGGAAATACCGCTTAAGAAGAA